TCCTGTTTCCAACCAACCATACTTAGAGGCCTTGAAGGTGGATCCTACCCAATCCCCAAAGGAGATAGCTGAAAATTGATCTCACCAAAAATATGAATGAAAGCACATAATTCCTTCCTGTGTGACTGGCACAATACACAGAAGCTAAAGAGAAGAGACTGATTAAAAGCACCCTGAAGAGCATCTCTACTTCACACATAAGCAGAGCTAAAAAGATGGATTAAATTAACAAGGTAAACTGATGAGGGGAAGGAACGAAGCAGACATCTCAGGCACATTCATTCCCCATCCTGAAATGTCAGTAATGGGACAGGTCTTGCCTACTAAACACAAACAGACACTCAAACACCAAATATAGTCCATGCTTTTCAGGGGAGGGAAGCAGTAGAAACATCTGAGGTTACAAGTTAAGACAGACCACTCCTCTATCGATGGTATGTTAAGAGGAAAGCAGAAACACCAACCTGGAACATGTTGACATCGAGCGCTCTCACTGGTCCTGTGTGCTTGTCTTTCTGGGCTATTATTACCTCAGCCTCTCCATCGAGGATTTTGGCTGTGTCATATAGAATGACATTTCCATTTTCACCCCCAGCAATCAGGACTCCAGACACTCTGTCCCCTGAGGTCATGCTGTGAGGGCCCCAGATCAGCTTGTGGTACCTGTAAGACACGGGAGGCCCCATAGCCTTAGAACCATCCACCACCAGCTCCCTATAGGTTGATACATCCCATTTTTGCTCACTCCAGCTAAAGTCAGAGAAAAGCATTGCCTCCATTTCTCCCTAAGGAGTCTCTGTACAACCCTTTCCATCAGGAAGACATGCCCCAATTCTGCTCATTAACAAGATGCACAACCAATAACCCACAAACTGATAACATCTCCAATCTCCTGGTTGCAAAACCAGGTAAGTGCTCCCAACCACATCAGGAATAATCAAAGTAATCAAAGCCCATGCAGCTAAAGTCTGGAGAAAAACCTCTGCTATCTGCGAGCAGCTTCATACAGGAGAAGAAACAGGTGAAACAAGAAAAATTCCATATCTTTTTCCACAGCTGTGCTTTTGGATGTGTAAGTGCTTTGTCTGCCATACCAGGAACTCAGCAAGTTTAATCAACATCACAGACATCTCTTAGACCACGGCCTGTTTTCAGGCTAACTCAAGAGGAATCAAACACACTTCCAGAAATTAAGAACACTGTTGTGTCCATCTATGAATACCCACATTCCCTTCAACTCAATTAACTTCCTGCATAAGCAAAACAGCATTCCTGTGCACTTAGCCATGCAAAGAATGAATATGCTCCACATAAAATGACACAGCCACCTATGAGCTCTTATGCAAGCAGAAAGCAAACCCACATTGACTGGAAGGTGGCAAGGAGATACCTTAGCATTCACTTTAATACTGATCATCTCTCCGTTACCTCCGTGAAATCTTCAAGTAATTTCTTTAAATCACAGCAACTTTAGCATGGTAAGATAGATACTGCAGAAAGCAACCCAAAGAGCATATACTGGGTGAGAAATGCCATAACAGCCAAGTGTTCAGGCTCCCAGTGCTGAGATTACAGCAGGGGTTCACCAAAGAATGATGCTACAAATGGAAATTGGTCTGTGATATCAGACAGACCCATTCCTGGGTATGATTTTTATGCTTCTGCATCTAACTATGCAAGTTTACAAGAAATGAAGTGACTGACAGGGTTGTCCAGGCATCACCAGCAAGACTGAATAGGAATGAAGGTAGGAAACAGTGAGGAAGAAAACCCAAAAATTAACTATGCAATTACTTTTGTCTTGCCCTTTACTCTTTCCAAGATAAAGCATGGTTCTATAAAAGCAGTGTAAAGCTTTCTTTGAAGGGCAATTAAGGATTTATCTTTTGTGAGTCTAATTACCTGGACGTTTTCATTTGCCACAAACCAAAATACAGCCTGACGTATACACTGCTATCTAATCTTTAGTTAAAAACAAAAAAACAAACAACCCTCAACCTCCTTTTTAATCATTTTCTGGGGCAAAGTCAAATTCTCGTGCTGCTGGTCAAGGGAGGTACTTTCTAAGGAGCACTGCATCCTGGCTAAGGAGTGCTTCTAGAAACTCAGTAAGCAAATGGCAAGTCTTGAAGAATCTCAGTCACAGTTAAAACAAGGTAGAACAATTAAACTCAAAGATCCAACACTGCCTCCTGCTCTGAGCAGGTCAGTAGGACACATTGACACCAGTTCCGCTCACAGAGCAGGGCATTTAAAAAGGGACTGCGGTTGTTTCAGCTCTGCCAGAGAGCAGCTACGAGTGTTGCTGAGACGGAAACTGGATGCTCTCATGCTAACAATATTTGTCTGGATAAGCACATGGTAAGAAACTAACAGCTAAGTGGAGCTGTGCAGCCAGGAATTTGGTTTCCCAGCTGTACGAACACACACAACATAACCCGAGTTAGTTATGTTACAGGAGTCCCCCTGAAATGGCTAAATACAAACAGGATAGTGCAATATGAAAAACTGCCACCATATTTTCACAATTTCACATTTTCTTCTGTTCTCTTGTGAATCCCAGAGGCTTCCTGAGTTAAAGGACCCACACATATATTCAAAAATTTTCTGTTTATGTCAAAGCATGAGCTGCCTGATTGGAGTTCAAGCTCAGTGCCCCACAATATCAACTGCACGCACTTGGCTTCATCTTTCAGTGCTGAACTTCTGCTTCTCTCCTCAACAAGCACAGGCAAAGCACATGAAGTGACATTTCCACACACACCATATGTAACAGTCCCACACTCTACTTTTCTCTAACAACACTGCCTACCTGTGTGCGGACGAGAACGTGGCACAGCTCTTCATATCCAGTGAAGGGTCTGCTAAGTCCAACTCAAATATTTCTAAAGAAGCACTTGTACTGAAGGTTGCATCCAGCTGCTGAGCTGATGTACCTGTGAGGAAGCATGTCTGGCAGTGAGAAAGCCACGATACACAGAGCAGTAACTGCAAATGCAGCATAAGGGGAAAAAACAATCATCCTTTCAAAAAGGATCCCGAGATGGGGTCAGACTTCTGTTTCTGTTACTTAGATATAGTCCCACACAACTTTCCTCCCCATGGTCTTCCCTTTGGGTTTTTCTTAATGAGTATGAGCAGAAAAAGCTTTGGGCAAGTACTTCTCCCTGATGATGCACAGCATATGATTTAAGTTACAAAGGTGCCACAAGTGACTAGTGCTTAGGATTGGTTCACATTTCCCTGGCAGAAAGAGGAGGATGCTTGCTGTCACTTGTAGAATGCAAAGCACGGTCATTACAATGCAAGAACTTCACTCAAAGCCACACAAAGTACACCCCACTCCAGCCCTCAAGACACAGCTTTCAATAATGGGCCCTTCATGGCAGCCACCACACACAGCCCGGGGTCTGCTAGTATGTGCTTCCCAAAAAACTCACCTGTGGCCAGGTATATGGGGTGCTGCTGGGCAGGGCTCCATGCCTGCATGGCAGTACGGTCTATTTCCTTCAGCTTCATTTTGCTGAAAAGTAAGACCAAGAAAGGCGGTGCTGAAATGGTGCATGGTGAGACTGCACTGCCACGGATTCAGGAGCCGCATTAGGACTTGGCAGAAGCAGCCGGAGGGACTGTTTTCCTAAAGATATCCCACATACAGACACCCAAGCCATCCTCTCCAGAAGACCCAGGGGGAGGGGAGGAAAAACTCTCCATTGGCAGAGTAACATTGACACGTAGAGGAAACTGACGGGTGCCGAACACAACACAGGAAAACGTGGGCAAAGCTTCGACAGCTGTGAAAACCCTCTTCTCACAGCACCAAGGCATCGAGTACCCTACAGCAGCTTTCTGCCTTAACCCACGAAACTAACCCGGTCCGGGAAGTCTCTCCCTAGACCCTGCCGCCGAACACCCTCAGCGGCTCCTTTCTGGGTCCTACTGCAGCCCCTCAGGGCTCCCCCGCCCCGGGCGCGCCCCGCGCGGCCAGCGGCGCCGCCAGCAGCGCCCCGTTCCTGACAGGAACCGGAGGAAAACAGCCGCAAACCAGAGGATTCCGCCGTCCCTGCCCTCACCTCGGCGTCCCCGGCGCTCACCCGTCCCCAGACCGCTCCAACGTGGCAGCCCCGGCACCGCCTCCCGGCCGCCACCGCCTTCCGGGCGCGCCCCGCGGCTTCCGGGCGGCGGCAGCGGGGCCGCGCCTGCCCGGCACGGGGAGCAGCGGGAAGCGGCGGGGGGTAGTGGTGGAGGTGGTGGGAGGGTGTGTGTGGGGGGGATGTGCAGCCGCCTCCTTCCGCGCGTATTCTCCGTGTCCCTCGGGGCGGGAGCAGCCATCGGCCCTGGGGAAGAGGGAGACTGGTTAGGGGCACCGGGACCGAGGGGAGCCGAGGCGCAGCGCTGGCAGCGCGGGGGCCGCGGTGCCGCCTGTCCTCAGCTCAAGGGCAGTAATCATGGTGTGCTCATGATGTGAACAGCAGTGAGGCTCATCACGGGACAGGAGCTACTCCAGGGCGGGGAACAGCCCGAGGGAGCTCAGCCAGCTTCCATAGCCGGGGGAGGCAGCCCCGGACCCACCTCCTCACGGCAGCCGGGGCACAGCTCCGCTGTCGCCTCCCGCCGCCGGGCTCCGCGGCCGCTCGGCGGGCAGACGCCGTGCACGGGGCAGGCGCTGCCCGGGCCGCATGGCGCGGCTCAGCGGGAGCACAGCGGGAGAGAGGCAGCGGGCGCTGCCGGCCCCTCTATAAATAGGGGCTGGAGGCGCGGCTCCCATTGGCGCTGAGGATCGCCCCTCGCCACTGGCTGCGCCCGCCGCCGCTCCCGGTTGGCTCGGTCCGCTCCCGGTCCCGCCGCCGCGCCCAATGGGGCCGCTGTCCGACGGGCCTTCCGGCCAATGGCGAGGCGGCGGGCGGGCGCGCGGGCGGTGGCGGCGGCCAATGGGCGGGCCCGCTGCGGCGCGCGCGCGGCGGCAGTGGCGCGGCGGAGGTGGCGCGCGCGGGGCCGCCATGACGCGGAGCTGCTCCGCGCTGGGCTGCACCGCGCGCGACACCGGGCGGAGCCGCGAGCGCGGCATCTCCTTCCACCAGTGAGTGCGCCCGCCCCGCGCCGCCCGCCCTTCATCCCTCCATCCCTCCGTCCCTTCATCCCGCCGTCTCCCTCTGTCCCAGGTTCCCAGTGGACGCCGCGCAGCGCCGCGAGTGGATCCGCGCCGTGAACCGCGTGGACCCGCGGAGCCGCCGGGCGTGGCGGCCCGGCCCCGGCGCCATCCTCTGCTCCCGACACTTTTCCGAAGGGGACTTCGAGCGCTACGGGCTGCGGCGGAAGCTGCGGCGGGGGGCCGTGCCCTCCCGCTTCCTCCCCTCGGTGCGGGCGGGTACCGGGCGCGCTCCCCGCTCCCCCCGGCGGGTTCCGCCGTGCGCCGTGACCTCCCCTTTCCTTCCCCCGCCAGGAGCCGCCGGGCGCCGGCCGCAGGAGGAGCAAGACCCCCGGGCGGGCGCTGAAGCAGCCGCTGCCCAGCCCTCCCGCCGGGGACCACAACTACAGCCTGCAGGAACAGCGGGCGGCCGAGCCGCGGCCCCCGCCGGCCGCCCCGCCGCACCAGCAGCAGCCGCCGGCCGCCGGGAGATGCGGCCCCGCGCACCGCCGCAGGACCGTGCGCAGCATCCTCAGGGAGCTGGCGGAGAAGCGGCAGCTCTCTGAGGAAATCGTGAGTTTGCTGCAGGCGCAGTTTTCAGGTACTGCTGGGGACGCTTGCTGAGGCAGAGTGCACTCCCTCGCCCTGGTGTCATGTCTTTGCTTAACCCGTGCCAAGGAAGAGGCGAGGCACTGTGGTGTCATTGCTGAGCCCTATGCTTCACGCCAGACTTCAGGACTGAGTTGTTCCAGAGGCCACGCTGTTGCCTTGTATTCTGCAGTGCATTTGTGTCGTGCATCCCAATGTTTCTAGCCATTTATTTGTTTCACTAAAGTTGATCTTTTGTGATTTCTTAAGCAGATTTGCCTCGAGAGTTGGACAGCTGGAAGCAGATGGCAGACTACTCACCAGAAATGAGGCAATTTGCTTGTCTTCTCCACCTCTACCATATTAAGGCCTATGACTACCTACGGAAGATTGTTCCCCTCCCTCATCCTTACAGCCTGACAAAGCAAGTTTTTATTTATTCATTCATTCAAAATGTATTTCCAGGTAATTGTGTAGAAATAGGTGTAACAGATCTGTCCTGAAGCTGCCTTGTTACTTCCCTTGCATGGCCAGTACTTTCCTTGGCTTCTCACCTCTAGGATGAGAGGAAAGAAACTTGGATTATGCATGAAGGAAAGCAGGGCTGCGTTCTTTGCCCTGCATGTCTCAGCCTGCTCTGCAGCTCTGGGCATGGCTGACCACGTCCTAAGTGGTAAAAAGTGCTGCTTATTGCTTCAACTTTTCCGGAACCACTTTTCCTACTCACATTCTCCCTCTTTTTTTCCAGCTGGCTGTCTAACAGGGAGGCTGCTGCAGGCTTCAGCAGTGACGTTTTTCTCCGGCTTCAGGAAAAGGTGGAGAGAGGGGATCAGGCCTACCGCTACTGCGCCCTGCTGGTGCAGGACATGTCCCTGCAGAAGCAGCAGGAGTGGGACCCACAGACCAAGCAGCTGACGGGCTTTGTTGATTTGGGAGCAGGCATCCTTGATGCTGATGAAGCTCCGCTGGCGTCGGAAGCGATAATCCTCATGGCAGTTGGCATATCCAGCTCTTGGACAGCTCCCCTTGGCTATTTCTTGGTGAACAGCACATCCGGCCAGTTCCTTGCCCAGCTCCTTCGTCAGGCCATCAATAAGCTGAACAACATTGGAATCGTGGTCCTGGCTGTGACATCGGGTGCCTCTGCTCGTGGTGCTGAGACTGCCAGAGCTTTGGGGATCAGGATAGATCCCAAAAGGATTCAATGCACTTTCCAGCATCCACCCGGTTCTGCTCACAGCATTGCATACTTCTTTGACGTTTGCCACACCCTCCTGCTGATAAGGAATGCTCTGCAGTGCTTCCAGAAGGTAGAGTGGCTCGGTGACACCGTGTGGTGGCAGCATGTGGTGGAGCTGGCAGCTTTGCAGGAGCAGAGCGTGTTGGAGCTGTGCAGTGCCGAGTCAGGCAGGGCTGGCAGTAAAGGGAGTTTCCACCTGAAGGTCAATTTTGCTACCCTGCTGTTCAGCGAGGGTGTTGCTGAGGCACTGGAGCACCTCCAGAAGCTGGGCCTGGCCTCGTTTCAGAACTGCAGCGGGACTGTCAAGTTTGTGCGTCTGATGAGCTCTCTGTGCGATGTGTTTTATGGCAGAGGTCCCTATGGAAAGGAGCCTTTGCTAGCTGGAAATTACACCAAAATAAGCAACCTCTTCGATGAGGCCAAGAGCTGCTTTATCAACTTAACAGACTCTGTGGGGAGATACATTATTAAGAGCAAACGCAAACTGGGATTTCTGAGCTTCTTGCTCAATGCTGAAAGTCTCAAGTGGCTTTTCTCCAACTACACATGTCCAGAAGCCACTCCTTCCCACCACCTCCACACACATGCCTTCAGCCTGGACCCTCTCGAGCAGTTTCTCAGGGCCCTCCAGCAAGCCTGTGGCAGCAGTGGCAGCCCCACCTGCACTGTGTTCCAGGCTGCTTACCACAAACTGCTGGCCAGCTGCAGCCTGGCACCTGGCTCACCACACAGCAGTGGCAATGCCAGCCCCCAGGACGTATCTCTGTCTCAGAGGAGAGCTCTGACTCTGGGCAGCATTCGTGCTCAGTATCACCCAGCTCCTGGGAGGACTCTGGCCCCAGAGTACCCCTACAGTGCAGGCCTGCTTCTGCCCAGCTGTGCCTTGAGCAATGCACTGACAGATCTGTCTCTGTACACACAGAGCCTCACCTGCACTGCTGGCTGGGTGGCTGAGCAGCTAGCCTTGGACTTGCAATGTGAGGCTTGTCTTGCCTCTCTGTTTGAGGCAGATGAGAGCAGGCCAAGATGCAGGTCAGTGCTGTACATAAAGAAGTTAGGTGGCGTAAGTCTGCCCTCAGCCAGTGTGCACCACATAACAAGCATTTCAGAACAAGCCCTAAACCGATACGGCAGAATAGGAGGTGCCAACAAAAATACTCAGCTGTGGCATGTGCCTCTAGAACAAAAGGTCTTCCAGGAGCTTTTGGGAGAAAGCCCCCTCTTTCCCACCCTCACAAACCATTTATTTGAGGGGGAGCTGAGCATCAACAACCACTACACAGTCTTAGTAAAGGAAATAACACGGTGTTACTTAAACATAAGAACAAACCCCGCCCAACACCTGAATTTGAAATATCCTTGCAGAAAACACAAGTTGAAGAGACTGAAGGGAGAGCATTTGTTTCCATCACCACTGGGTAGCTGTCAGTCAAACTAAACCTACACATGGTCTAACTGAGTACTCTGTGGTTCCAAGGATGGCTGTTCCTTGCTTATGCTCAGTGCTGGACAGATCTGGGCAACACAGATGAGGAAATAATGCTGGCAAAACTAGTGTTGATAAGCAGTGATGTTTTGGGCCACTGCAAACCCCCTAACCAGAGTTTAACTGAGCAAAGCAAGGAAGTTGGTCTGACCCCCTGTTCCTTCTAGCAATCCTGCAAAGCAGCCACGTAGTGGCAGATGAGGATGAGCAGCAGTTGCTCAAGGTGCCTGGGGCAGTGGTAGGAGACTGCAGTGTCCCTGGAAATGCTGGGTGGTTTCAGTGCTGTGAGTGCTCTTGCCAGAAGAAAACTGATAGTTGATGGGGTTGCAGGGGAATCACATGCACTGGGACTTTGATTTCAGCAAAACAATGTGCTTTATAAAAGCTGGGAGCTAGAAAGCTTGCAGAGCTACATAAATAGGAAAATAAAGATGTGAAAAGAACATGCCAGCTTTCCCACATGTCTCATCAATCAGCTAAAGATGCTGGTCAAGTCTAGATGCTCTGGCTCAGTGCTGAGCCTGTGACCAGACTGTTGTATCCAGTGGCATTCAGGAGCACTAATACCCTCCTCCAGGGGCAGGAATACATGGGTGTGCTGCAGCAGGGCAAGCATTTCAGTTCCCATTCCCTGGCCCCATCCTCCCAGGGCTGGCCTGTGTCCTGCAGCCCAGGCACAAGTGCCACCAAGTATGACAGGCCTCTTCAGTTAGTTCATTTCCATGGCAAGGAAGCTGCCTCCAGTGCTTTTCCTGGAATAGCAAAATTGGACAGAACTGCTGCTAAGGGGTTTCCCTTTGCCATGCAGAACAGGAGTTGCATCCTTAGAGAGGGAAAGCAACTAATTCCCACAAAACCTGCTGTTCAGTCACTTTCAAGATCCAGAATGGAGCTGGAATGAAAAATGCCACATCCTAGGGCAATAATAATATTAAAAATACTATTCTGCCTATCAGTGACTTGACAAAACTGTCCCTGGTTGGTTTGGGTTGCTCTTTCTTCCCTTAGTTCTGCTGCACTCAATCCCTCAAGCTCTGCTTTGAGAGCAGCAGCACCACAGAAATACATACAATCACTGCTGGGAGGAACAAACCAGAACCTCTGGGCTTTTTTCCCCCCTTCCAATCCAAATATCTATGCAAAAAAACACGTTGAAGCCATCACTGTCACAGAGCCATTCCAGCTACAAGAGACTTTGCAAGAAACTATTCCCTCCCCTCTATATGTGATTTTTGGGACAACTGGCAAAATGCTGATGAAATCCCAGTGACAGATTGGTTGCAATCATGTAATGTTGGAACACTTGCATTGCCTCCACCTCCAGCTCTAAGATGAACAGTTATGAACAGTGCCATGGATTGCTGTGCATGACAGCACACCAATAACCAAGGCATATTTATTTATCTCTGGTAGCATTTGGTCTCACACTGAAAATCCAAGTCAGTACTTGCATCAGAAGTGGACCTAGTGTTAACAATTTATTTTGATATTTCAGTGACAAACCTTCTGTGTATATTTGTCAGTGCTGAAGCAAAGGAGTGCAAAAAAATCATGTTTACAGAATAGTATAAATGTTTATTTTTTGTGATTTATCTGACTGTTTTATTTGTACAATATAGAAAAGTGTATTCTTTGAATAGGTCTTGTAAATATAAATTTAATTTTCTACTTTTGGATGTAAACAGAACTATAAAATGAACCCTTGCCCCATTCTCAATTATTTTTTATGTAACTGGATGAACTTGACTGTTAATCTTGTCCAGCAGTTTGATGCAAATGGCTAAGGAAGTACAAAAACCAATTAATACACTCTACACCAGGGAGAAGGGAGAGAGGAATCCAAGCTTAATATTTGAGGAAGCTTGTTCAAAACAAAATAGAAGAACTAAGAGCATTTGATTGCACCTTCAAAGTCTTTACAAGCAAAATATTCTCCAGCAATGCCATCATACATAATTACAACTGTAATCTAAATTTCACAAGTGCTTTTGCACACTGTATATAAATACACATCACAAAAGGTGCAATTTAGAGTAAGACACTGAATATATACAAAATTAACACAGATTGAAGTCTAAACAAAAGGCATATTGCAATCTGTTGGAAAAATAACGTAAGTAGGTATTACTTTATTCACTTACACTAATTTACATTTATACAAATCTTACTGGACAGACTATATTAGGTCACTAGAAGGGAACGGAATATCTGCACTATCTACAGGTAAAGTTACTGCACTGATTTTTTTTAGTAAATCCATGTCCTAATCATGAAAAAAGTGGCATTTACTTACACAAGAGGTGGATTCCCTTTTCAGAGATTTGCACAAACAGTGCCATTTATGCTCAGGGAGATATCCTTGCCAGACAGAGCCCTTCAGACAGTGACTGGCAGGTCAAACCTGCTCTGTGAGCCCACCACTGCTGCTGGCTGCCCGCCAGGCATTTCAAAGAGGCACCAGAGAAAGGTCAAGGGTCTTCTGCTCAGTGCACAGGGCTGGGAGGTGAAGCATCCTCCCACCCTATTGCCTACACACACAGGCACATATCTCTGCTGCTGGTGTGCCTAGCCCCTACCTCTCCTCAGTCTGGCCCTGCTAGGAAACCTGGAGAAAGAGCTCTGCTGCATTTCTCTGTATTTACAGTTTTATAGAAGGAATACAAATTCCCTTTTGGAAAAAACATAGCTAATTCAGGCTGCAGTGAGACAGGTAATAAAAATGCCTGTGATTAAACATGGTTAATGGATGTTCATGATAGCTAAGTAACCCACCAGGTTAATTCTGCAAATGTGTTCCACTATCAAAAATGTGATCTGAGATTGCCTGTAACAAATACTGAAAAAAATCCCCTGCCTTAGTCTATGCCCAGCTATAACTGATTGCCCCCCATTTAGTGTAAAAGGATCTGTGTCTGTTTTTGTAGCAATCCTGATTCTGTACTAGTACTTTCTCTGATCACAGCTCTCACAATTATTCTAAACAACACTAAAAAGAGTTCCTTATGCCAAGTAAATTGCCAACATGGAAAGAAGCAGCATCCTGAATACCAACAGCCAGGCTGAACATGATCCCTAGCTGCATTTGCAAGTCAATTCAGACGCAGATTGTCATCTCCCATGACTTCAGCTTTTCAGGCCTAAACACTTTTCCAGGATTACAGCTTGATCCTAGAAAACACAACGGACTACACAGCCCTACCTCCCGTGAGAGATTGGGCTGCTGCAGACCTCTGAAAAACCAAGCTTCACCTAAACAACAGCATCAATCTGCTACACACTTAGGTACCACCATGCTGGGCAGACAGTTTGGCATTGTGATGTGGCTGCTCTTCCTCACTTCCGAGGACAGGCCACTGTCTTAGCCTTCAAGTTCCAGCTTAAGAAACACCTGAGCACTCTGCTCCATTCCTATAAAAAATTCCCCATAATGCCATTCACCTCTGTACTCCTTGGGCCCTGCTCTGGAAACATTCTCCATTACTTGCTCAGTGCTACATCTGCAAGCAACCCCTCTGTACTATTGCCTATGTATCTCAGTGCTCTGTGCACTAAAGGGACATGCTGTGTCAGGTCCTACATACAAGTACTACTTTCCATTTAGATGCTTATTTCTACATATTTCCTTTCAGAATTATCTTGGATACACTGGTACCTCCATATTACAGGCCTGTCAGCAAAAGCATGACCTGGCTGTTGACATCACCTGTGTTTTCCTGTATGCACAGTGATGCAAATCCATACATTGTAAATATATATATTATAATAATTTATATATGCCCTTCAGACAATTATTCTGGGGGAAAGGGGAGAACACATCTAATTTTTAAGAAACCCAGGGTAAAAGCTGTACATTGGGTAGAAGAACTGACCTTTAGGTATTGTCTTATGTAGAAGAGGATCTAGCTAAGATTTAAAAGGCTCTACATCCTGTTATAAAAGAATTTCTTGTTTCAATCTTACATGGGTCAATTTACAACAAGCACCAAATTAACAAATATTATTAAATCCTTTATGCTAAACCAAAGTGTCCCTGTGCCTTAAGTGTTCTGTTCAGTCCGCTTCATTGTGGCTCATGTGCATGAGTCAGCAGTTCATGGCACAAGGGTCACATTTGGACTTCCCTGCAGAGCTGATAACCCTCATCAGACAGCGTCCAAACTCCTCCAGGATCATGCGCTCCGCTGCAGCTTTGGACTTGCCCGTCTTCTCTGCTTGCTCTGCCTGTGCCAGGAGACATTCACAGGTTGCATCGGCCACTTCCTTGGTGACAAATGTAAAGGGCAGCCTGAAACAAAGAAACATCCGCTTAGTATCTGCAAAAACACACAAGGCACCTAACTCCAGGGCTGGCAACCTTTTCGTCTGAGGACTGATGAGATTTCATGTGTCCCATTGCTTCCAAGAGCCTTCAGATAGTGAATAAGCCTCAGTTAACAGCCAAATGAACCGGTGGGTCAGAATCCCTACTGTTACAGGAACAAAATGTTCCATTCATCTGACAGCTCCCACCTCTACAGCTTACACAGACAAAGCTCCGAGATGACAGGGACATACCGGTCAGACACATCAAAAACCGGCATTAGAAAGAACTCGAAGGTGCGGCATTAACTTACTTCCCACCACCACTGCTGAGTGCTGGTGTTGGCCTTGTCAGCAAGTCTGAGATCTGGGAAGATAACTTGGTCTTTGCAGCAGTCTGCTGCTGGACCCTGACCTCTGCAGCATCTGCTAAATGCATCAATGTCTTTCGCTCCGGGCTTTCTTCAAAATTTTTACAGCCAATGCATTTGCATATGGAAGAACACATGATTTTTGCCTGAAAGAAACAAACAAAACAAAACAAACCTGTTGCAATTTTGACTCCCCTTACGAGAAACCACAACAAAAAGGAGACCTTATTTGAATTTCTTACCAATTAACCACTAAAACAAACTCCCAAGTAGTAGTCTCCTCTCTGATTTCTTACCTTAAGTTGAGATGTCTTCCTAGAATATATACTTGAATCGAATCATAGAGCATAGAATATAAATTACTGGTCTCCCACTCATTATTTTCTTCATCAACCTCCAGCTTCCAGTGGAATTTAGACAGCTGAGTTTTGAGAAAGGTCAGTCTACACTGCCTCTACATCCACAGACTGATCAGTTAGCAGATGAAGTAAAAACAACTTCTGCTTTTGAATTCCACAGACACATTCTATCCCACAGCATCTGTGGGATGCTGCTTCAACTCCTCCTAGGGATTTGGTGCAGCAGATTTCTTTAGGAAATGGTGCTATTCAGTAAAGAACAAATCCAAGCCTAAGTGAAAAGTTGCTAAATTGTTTAAAATTAAAATTACAGAACAGTAGAGACCAGTTTTTCCATGTACATGGCTTTCTATGTGCAAACTGCTGGGAGAAGAGGTAACATTATAAGAATCGAAATAATCAGAAGAGAAAACATTATAGCAAAACAAGGAAGAGACAAAACAAATGAGAGAAGTCACTACACTAAAGGGAAAAAGCTACTATTTTTCAAATGAGATAATGCTTCATACCTCATAACACTCGCAGTAGTTTTTGAGACATCCCGAGCGTTTACAGTTACATCCTTTGCTGTGCCTCCGATCCGATTCTCCCTCCTTTCCTTTCCCTATTTTGGGCTTGAAGGCTTCAGGGTTTCTGTCGAGGCAGGCCTGTCAATGCAGACCCAAAGGGTCAGTCATGGCATGCAGGGAACAGAATTTAGAGGTGCAATAAAATAACTTAAGCCTTGCACATGTGGGAGGAGATCAGGGCATTATACACCCACTCTGCCCTGCTCTGGAGCTTCAGAAAAAAGGGAGCTAAATGACTTTGATCCCAGGGGGCATGGGAAGAGGCCCCTCACCTTTATTGCTTTTTGCCTATCGTTTTCATGGTCCAGGTTGTTATAGCAATTTGTACAGTTGCAGTTATTGCAGAATTCACCGTTTGCAAAGCAGTCACAATACCTGAAACAGAAGATGCAGAAGGCATTTGTAAACATGACCATTACAGTGGTGTGTGAGAACTGACTCACACACTGCAGTAGAAGTTCCTACTCTGGCACCAATATGGGTAACGCTCAACTCCACACATACAAGTGGTAACAGCCTCACTGCAGAGCCTAAATCCTCTAGTGCAGGTCTAGCTGCTGTCTAAAGACACAGGTGGAGCTCAAGGGTGTCCACCTGAGCTTATCACATAGCACAGGTCCCCCAAGCAGCAAGAGAAGCTAATTTTCCAAGAGTGACTCTCGGGTCACCCACATTTTGAGGGCCATTCTGCTGCAGCCATCTCACAGCCAGCTCCTGACCCAGTCAGTCCAAGTCAGCCCTCAGGTGCCCTCATACAGCCAAAACAAAAGGCAAGCAATTGGAGTGACAGTTAACAGGCAAACCAAGCCAGCAAGGAGCTTTTTTATCGTTAGTTTTGCCCTTAAGCTGGGATGAAAGAATAGGAAAGGAATAACAATTGGTACATCTGGGAGGCTTTGAAGCACAGTTAACCAGGGGAAGGATCTGAATGAGGATAAAGCTGACTTTAAAAAGGAACAAATATATGAACAAAAAGCAGCAAAACATGGACAGGGAAAGCCAATCACATTGCCATGCTTCTTATGTACCTTTGGTGCCTCCCATCAAAAACAACATCTCAGCATTCCATAGATTCACAGATCTGATACATTGAAATACCACATTCATCCCCAGCTCAAACATGGCTTTAGGCCACGACAAACTCTGACATGTTTCAAGGCTGTCAGGACCACCTCCAGCTAATAGCTAAAAACTGCTGATCCTCTTCACTTGCTTTTCAAATCCTGCTCAGAGTGTATGGTCATTTTCTGGAGCCTAAACCCATTCCTAAACTGGCTTTCTGTGGCTTGCCCAGCCTAGCACTACATAAAACAGATTAGGGTTGCCCTGGAGCCCACTGCAACCCTTCATCAGGTTGAATTTGATTTTGGAGATTTTTAGCATCTTGAATGGTCCCACGGACAAACTAAATCAAAAGCTTTTACAACCTCTAATACCTCTCCTTACTTTTTTAAAATTCGGTGGTAGAACACTCCTGGTTTCAAAAAAAAAAAAAACCAGTGCCAGCATCAATCCAGAATGTAAGTGAGCAAATAATTTAACTGAGTAGATTTCTTAGTAGAATAGGCTATGTGCCTGCCTTTCACAAGCATTTGGGAAAAAATAAGATCCCCTCCGGAAAGAAAAAGATGTTTTACTAGTGAGAAAGCACCTGTGCCAGAGTCAATTAACCATTTGCTCTGCACCAATGCCCAGAACACATAACAGTCGTGATTTACAAGAACAGTTTGTATCCTAACAGCATTCTGAAGGCACAAAGTATTCCCAATGATGCCATTACTCTCCCAGGATTTATAGGGAACATTTAGGCAACCAAACCTAAACCCCTACACATCTAACATGCATTGGGAACTGTGAGGTCAGTCATGTATGTAAAATATCTGAAAAACAGCTACACATCTTCCTGCTATGCAACAGTCTGAGACTAGGAAACACAGAGAACACCTCCCCATACAGAGGTGGGGTGCACTACATAAAAAGACATCCAAGCTTAAGAGTTTAAACACACTTCTTAATTTGGGTTCAGATGCCATTGCATCACTTCCCCTTTGAGTACCACACCCCTGATTTCCTCTTCATTGTCTAGGATTCAGGGAACCATAGATTAATTTCAGTATCTCCTCCCATTCCTGTCCCAATAATATCAGTAAACTGACTTTACCTCAAGGTGAAGAAACTCCCCTCAGCTCCAAATGCTTTTGTGTCAAATTCTTACAAATACATGGAATGGAACAGCAAAATATCTCATGGATAAGCAAGAGGCAGACCTATCAGTGAAGAATCACTTGTCTATTCAATCCTTTAATAAAATATACACAGCCTAATTTTTCTAAAGTATTTGATTCAGCATGGTATTACTGATGCACTTCACCCAAGTATTGTAAATGCCCACGAATGATACCATGAGATACCATTTCACTCACGGTACCAGCAGGCAACCAGAGCTGCTGAGTGGAATTTCCTCCACTGTGCAATAAGGTACATGATGCAAAAGTAGACATTTATAATTGTTATGGTCCATATAGCTCACAGGAGTTGCAAAATAATACAGGCTCTGCAACATCTCCACCAATATCCACCTTAAATCAGCATCTAGACATAAAATTTCTGACATACCTGAAACCATTATATTCTGATATTTGGTGCACATTTGTGATGTTAAAAATAAGGCTTAAAATATAAAAACTGTACCAAGCTGTACTTACAATTTCAAACACAGAGACTTAGTACAATTGCAAGGCTTCCTGGGGCGGTTTGCAGACTCAGAAGAAATTATTCTGTGGGGGGAAAAAGTGCATTTATATACACACAGTTTTATCAGTTTCTTCCTATTTTAAATTCATATAAACAGCTCATAGGGAAAACATAGAGAAAATCTTCACATTCCCCTTGCATTAGGCTTTTGGCTGACTGTGTTTAAGTAACTATTATAAATAGTGTCTCTCCAACCCAGAAAGAGATTTTCTGCAAATTTGGATGCATGCCTGAAGTAGAAATTAGGCTTTAAAACTAGAGGAAACATAACTAAAAAACTTGAGCCAGGGAAACCTTCCCCGGAATCCCTTCAAGTGCAGTGAGACCAGATCCAACCAAAAATCACACATGATTTGTTCTATGTGGAATTAAAAAAATCCCAGAAAACAAAAAGTATCCTCTTTTGAATTATGGGAAAACAAGCCAAACCACAGTATTCAGTTTTCAGATAAATTTTGTAGTAGACACAGTCTTTAACTGCTCCTAAAACCTGGATTTTGTGACACTAATCACTTCTGATGAGATTTGTTCCATCCCTATCCAGCAATTTCTGCACGTAATACCAGGGAGATTAAATCAAACCCATTCATTTGAATAGCTGCATCTGGATTTGGGATTAGTTTGCATCAGTTGAGGTTGCAGCAACAAAAAGCACTTTCATGTTCACAATTTTCAGCAAACAGTAACACAAAAGGACTCTGCAGAACAGCTAAGCCTGCTTGCTGGATTGGTAAAGGGAAAATAATGTACATTAGCTGTTATTTTCATCCTTAAAGGAAAAATGCAAGACTGAAAAAAGCCAAAGCTTCCTATCAAGATCCATTTTGCCATTTGGCTGAATTTCTGCATGTGTTAAGTATCTAGCCTATATGTTGTCCAGAACCTCTTTGCAGCAATTTTGAGAAATAGTTGAGGCCTGTAGCTCACAGGTACTGTTGCAAATAAAAAACGAGCAACAGGGAGCTTTCAAGTCAACCTCCTGCTACATGAGCTCAAAAAACAGAAAGGAAAACACAGCTTTGATCAATAGACTGGCTCAAATGTCAGAGAGATCCACACCCTTCAGTCAGAGGTAATAATCACACCACAGCACACTTGAGTGTCTTTGAGAATTCAGGTTTTGGGATTTTTTTTTTTTTTCAAGACTCTTACCCGTTAAATGGCAGCCGTGCCTGGGACTGGACACTGGATGTCCCTGTGAAGCCAGTGTTGCTCGCTATAGATACATAGGATGACTGTTGTAGCTAACAAAACAAAAAGGTTAATGCCTGACATGAGAGAAATTATACACAAGAGGATGTGTTGCTAGTCTTTAAATTAGCTTTCCAGATATTGCTATAAAAATAACTTGCCTCTAAGACATGGACCAGGTGGCAACTTCCTGCCTCCATACTTGGCACAAAAATACTATTTTAGATTCTATTTTTTGTTGTCTATGTGTGTCTAGATCCATATAGACGACAGGGATAACAAACAAAAATGTTCAGACCACAAACAGTTCCTGCTCCTAAAAACATGTTCATTTTCTCCTTAACAGAACAGAATCACTTCCTGCACAAATTAGTAGCTTCCTTTATATACAAGCCACTTACTATGAAACTAAGCAAAATGGTTTGCATTCTAACTCCTTTGTATACATCACTTTGAACACATCACTTATTTTTCACATTAAAAAAAATAATTTCATAAGAACCTGCCAAGCAACACTGCTCTGGGCTACCTTCTTTAGCATTACCTACAAGCAGCTGTTTGCTCCTGCTGGGACAGGTTCTGGGGACATACTGGCACATTGCAAGATACTGACCTGCTGGGGCCAGGCAAATGGGGACAGGTTGTGACTGGAACACAAACCTGAGAGGGGAGGTCCAACAGATTCTAATTTAAAGTAAAATTTGCACAACTAGACTGGAAGGACACAGTAACAATCTTCAGGGTCAAACTGCAACTGTGGCAAAACCAAAAGGCAACCAGAAACCAGTCTAGTACCAATAATGCCAGGAGCTATCAGAGTCTTTGTTTCTACAAAGACTCTGCCTTCAGCAGAACATTTAATTTATTCTTTTCATCCTCATCTTGGTAAAGAGCAAAAAACTAATCCCTAGGCCTCAGTTTGGGTAACTGGTACCAGCTGCTTCTGACCCCTGGCAATGTGCTTAGCATTAACTAACAATTTTATAATGAAGACAGCCATACTTTGTGACCAAGCAGATCACATATATGCTCCCTTTTTCCTCATCATCAGGCTCTGAAGGTCCTGTGAAGCAAGCAGACAAACCAATAATATTTATTCTTCCCCTCACTACAGGTCTCAGGACTCCTGGGCACCAGGCCAATTACTCTGTTCCTTACTGGCCATGGAGGTCTCAGACACCCAGACAAACAGGTGGTGGTGACTGGCATGGAACAGGGAAGTGTTACAGCACACAGCAGTTCTAAAGGCAAGCTGTTGCAAGTCCTAAGTGATAAACCTAGACTGGAACTGCTGCTAGACACTGAGCCCACTGTGACCACCAGTGGCTGGGGTCACCTCCACTGACATCTGCATCCTCTGAGGACCAAATGACTTGTACTCTTTCATATGATTTTCAAGCCTAGAAAAAGTGATGAAGCAAACTGTGCATCAAGATCTGACCCAGCATGCAGAGGGTCTGGGTGATTAGAAATTCCAGGCTGAGATCTAGGTGATTTGAGTAAGTTGGCATAATAAATTCTGTACTATGCTATTCAAAACTGTACTACACTGATTTTGCTTATAGAAATGCTGTGCTATTATGCTAATAAAAACTTCTGTTGAGAAAACAAAGCTTCAATTGCAACTATGATTGCACTTAAAGTGCCATGTTCATTCTGTCAAGGGCCCTTAAAAGAAACTGTTGCCTCAGTGTCAGGTGACAGTCACAGAGCAGGAACCTTTAAGACAAAGGCAGAATGTTCCACAAGAGCAGAATTTGCTTAGCCGTCTCTGGGAAAGCCATACCTGTGTGACATACTGAGCTGGAAGGACTGCATAGCCAACATTTCCTGTGCCAGGGGCTGGTGCCAGCACAGTGCCTGGAGGAAGGTTGGTGAGGTTGGGCTGGATCTGTGGCAGTGGAGTGGCTGGCATGATAAGTCTTTGTTGGGGCTGACTAGTAGTGACTATTTGCGAAGTTGAGTTGATTGGTTTGGGCACCACCTGGAGAGAAAAGAACTCTTTATAAAAACCGTGTTTCAGTCATTCAGAACACACTTTCATTAGTAGAATTTTTTTTTAGAGAACTGGATGCAGACTTTTTTTCTGTCCAGCCAAAACAAGTGAGGAACATAACATGACAAACTTACCTGTTTCACAGTCTGTGCTGGTACTATGGGAACTGACATACGCACTGGGGTCGCGTTCACCACCACAGGCTTGGCTGGTGTCAAGAAACAACATCATATGAATGAGTGTTAGTCACTCCAAGCCCACAGCTCAGCCCTTCAGACTTCCACATGTGCATAACACAGAGGTACTTCACACTGTAACTCATGGCATGCAACACTTGAGTCTAGACAGCACCTTTGTAAACAGGCAGTATTTGGCTCAAGAGCATGTGCACACATTTCACAGCAATGGCTTAAAAAAACCAGCCAGGGTGTAGACCTCCTCTGGACACTGGATTTCCCTTACATCCCTTTTTCCTTTGAAATCTTTTATTCCATCACTGCTCTGGAAAGCATGGACAGAACACAGCAAAAACATCTGGCACTTCTAAAGCAATTTACATGGAAAGATCTTCATATTACAGGAGTTTTGGCAATATGCTTGTGAGTTGTCCTGTCTTCACACTATAGAGGAGATGGGAGAGACCATGAACCACCCACAAATCTGGTAAACTAGGGAAAAGCAACCTAAAATACTCCTGAGATTCAGGCCCAACTACAGAGCAATTTGACACAAAGAAGCATTTTCACATACAAATCAGAGGTAGTAATAGAATATGCAATTTATGGAAGTCTTACCACAAAACCAAATACATCTGGCAGTCTTCACAGATCTGTTATGTATTCATTTTAATCGTTACAGAACAAACATGAAAGAAAAACCCAACAGAGACCTCAGACAATATGTTACCAGCAGCACTTACCCTGTTGCAGAGGCTGAGTATTCGTACTGGGATTCTGACTGGCAGATTGGGTTGAGCTACTGGCTGTTGTGGCAGTAACGAGTCTGACATAATGGAACTTGCTTCCAGGTACCTGAATCTGCTGAACATTGGGTGCAGTTGCCAAGGGAATAATTGTCTTAAATTGAGATGTACCCACTCCTCCTACAGTAATGGTCTGCACTGCTGATTTCACAGCCTGTTAAGCCAACACAGACAGCACGAAGTTATTTGTACAAAGGCAGAAAGAATATCAGCATTTTTATTTCTCAGTTTGTTAGTTGGCAACTCTAGCATACCATTTGTACCCTCGAGAGAGAAGACAGTTACCCCGTTTTTGCTTTCAAAAGTAGAACAGATGCAAAGGAATTAAATGCCTCTCAACAGCTCAGAGTAAACTCAGTTCCATCTTCAATACTCTACAACAAACACCAGAGTAAACTAGTATTTACATGAGTAGGGTGGCTCAGTCCACTTCATAAGATACAACATCTGCCAAAACTATTTCAGGTGACTGCAGTTTTGTTTTCCAATCAAACAACCAAATATAGAAATATTTCTACTATTAAAAGCACATGGTAAGAATTTGCAGAACAGTTTGTGCTGGACTGCATTATAATTTATCTGTATGTGTACAGATATGTACTGTTAAGATAGTTTGTGATTAATCCACAGAAATCAGTGTGCAGCCCTTGAGAGGAAAAAGGAACAGAATCCATAAACTGATGGACATCAGAAAGAGTACAAGCTGAGAAATGAAAGAAGCAAGAACAATGAGGAGTAGCAAAACAAATTCATTAAGAAAAAAGGCAAAATGCTGAAAAAAGGGAGCTTAGCAGACCTTTGCTACCTTATAGCTGGAGTATCAGTATACCTGGAATTTGCAAAAGTTCATCTTTCCAACTTTTCTCATACTACAAACTAATAACAATAAAGTTTTATTTTATTTCTATGCATTCATCAGTCTACTGGTTTGATAACAGCATCTTTTTCCAGACTTGCTCAAACCTTGATTTCATCCCTTTTCTCCTTCCATTTAACTTTTTTTAGAGCTCAACTTTTTATTCTCAGTATGTTTTACTATTGGTATTAAGAACATTGTCCTTGACATCAAGTTTAAGTATTACATTTGGTTGACAATATGATGTGAATTCTTATGAGAACATTTTCCCAGCTTCCCAGCTTTCAGCAACTACATGAATGAAATCTCAATTTGCACACATTTTACTAGGAAAAAAAACCTTGTCTTCTAAAAGGTGTTTTCTTGGGACTTTTAATTTTTCTTAAGACATTGAAACCTTAACAAGCCAGAGCATCAAATAAACACTATGTGCAAGCATAGTCACAGACATTATTAAAGGGAAATCAGTACTCTCTAGCACGCAAGTGAGCAGCTGCTATCCAAGGACAACTGGGAAAATTGTAAAATTGAAGGGACAGTTCTTCTAAGGGCATGTTCTTGAGCCCAGTGAAGAAAGGTGAAGCCCCTGTGTTGTGTCAGATAGCTTTGCATCAGAACTCCCATAGACATTTCCCTTTTTTCACTTGGGGTGCTTGCATTAGAGAGACTTAACCTTTAAACAACTATTTCAAAAGATAGTTTTCCCTAGGGAAAAAAAAAGTTCAAATTTCTATAGTGTCCATATTCCCATATCAGCATTCCAATTATCTACTGTATCAGTAAGATAAGACTGGGAAAATCTCAATCTCATCCTGTTCATGTATGTCCACTCCCAGCTATATCCATACTCCGGATATATTTACAGCCGTATACATCCCTTCATGTTTACCACAACAAGACTACAGATATTATGATAGAAAGCCTAAGATCACAAAAGGGGAAAACAGCAGAAACTGTCATTTGTAAGAAAGGTCAGTTTTGTCTTGTGATTAATTAATGCAAAACTATTTATAAAAGCTATTACAGAAAACCCTGTTTTTCTAGAAGTGAGAAATAGGAAATAATTTCTGGTTCTGTAGGTTTCAGCCCAGTCCTCTACAGCAGGAATATGAACTCCACTGCTGCAAACCTCAGAAACACCTGGAAAGCAGCCCTAGGCAGTGGCATGGAAACATTGGCAGAAGAGAGAACCACCCGAAGAACTCCTCCTCGTGTCACAGAGTTCTTCAAGTGACTTGGGAGATTCAGTACACAGAAACAAGAATTTGCACCAAGTGGGGCTTTCCAGGTTGGAAAGCTACTCTCTAACAGCATGCCCTCGTATGGGCTTGCAATGATTTGCACCCCTCAATTGAAGAAGTACACGCTCCTTGGGGCAGTACTTCTGCCGTTCCTAAGCAAACACCATTCCAAGAACACGGTGGGGTCAGACGGACAGCTGCCAACCCGTGCTCCAACACTCCGGTTTCCAGCAAGCAATGACACAGACACACCAGAAGACAAAGGAAAGTCAGTCTGTACCTGGGTGGTTGTGTGGTTGACTATAGCCTTCCCAGGGGAGGAGGGTGCTGACTGCTGCACTGTGAGGATCTGCTGTCCTAACGCTACATTCAGTGGGACGCCCACCGTCTTCTGGGGGGAGTTGGGAGGCTGGGAGGCCACTGACACCACTGTTAGCTGCTTGGCAAAACAAAAAGCAGTTTAAACCTCTGTGCAGGATACAGGACCCTGTACATATACATTCCCCTCCTCAGGACAGTACAGCTCTCCACCAGAACAGAGCTCCTTCTGTGAACAAAGGTGCTGCATTTAACCACAACTCACACAGGTCCAGCTGTAACAACAGCAGACAGAGCCCTTAAGAACTTGAAGGCATCACTGGTTTCCAGCAGCAAAAGGCTCCTGCAGAAACCTAGCACTGCATCCGGATGGGAGTGAGGAGTTGTCTTTCATTTGTTTTGTTGGGGTTTTTTAAAGGAAATTATCCCATTGAAGCCTCAGCATTGTCTAGGAGGATCTTCTAAATGCAAGTGTCACAATTGGTACAATGACTATTTCATCATGAATAGGAATTTTAAAGAAAAGCTGTTCAAAAGAAAATAAAATTCTCAGCTCACACTACTGATTCAGTCCAAGTATAAGAACATCATACTTTGAAATCTACACTGCAGTTTCCCACAGAGATCCAGTCTTCTGACCACATTTCTGCAGAGTGCAGTGTTTGAACACTCTTTATAACCATACCCCTTCCAAGGCTGGTTTGCTACTTTTTGTTCTAAACTTCCTTATATTTTAAGAAAAAGCAGATACTCAGAATTACTTATCTACAGTGAATTCAAGATGTAACCCTAAAGAGTCTTTTCACACTCACTCCTAGTTAAAAAGGTAACTTTAGAATAAAAATTAACTTCTTTATGTTGCTTCTCTTAGTGATAACTGTCAAACACAAGTCTTTTACTCCATTTGTATAACATTACATCACTAAAGCACAGTCAAGCTAAAATAATTCTTTATTCTTAGCTTGCCTTTACTGTGCATCTTGTCCCCCTACCTCCATTTCTCCAGCAATATTCCTCTTCTCAAGACAACTATCAAACCTAAAACAAGTGTCACCTTGACCTGTGCCAATCTCCAGCTCTGTGTTTGTGAAGGACCACTGCAAATCTCATTTACTTCAGAAGTGATCAGGGAAGACTAAATTTGCCTGTGCAGTAACAGGCAATGGTTAATAAGCACAGACCTATTAATATTATTGAGGTCTCCTCTCAAACAGTCTGTTGACGTTTCATGAAGGCATTAAAAATAGTCTAAGTGCTTGGCTAAGAGGGAACAGCTGCTCTCAGAATCAATGCTTAGAGAATGGCAAGAAATGGCAGGAATGGGAAACTATGCAGTAATGCATATCTACTTAAGACCATAGTAAGAGAGCCAGTTGAAAAAAATCTAAATTAGGGCATTACCACAGAGCATTGTGATGCAAAATGGAGACTCTGGAGATATTTTTATAGACTCGGGAGATATGTTTCTCTTGAGAGATAATAAACAGCTTGTAGCAAAGACACAGAGAGCTCCATTCAGACCACTGTGCAGGAGGGATAGAAGGTCCTTACCTTATTGGGGGATTTGAGTGGTGAGATAGCTATTTTATTCGGTGTCTGTTGTGTTGTTGTACTCAAAGATGATCCAATGACTCCGCTCTCAGAGATCGTTATTGTCTTTGGTGGTGTCCCTGGAGCAGACTGTGAAAAAACCCTACCTATAAACAATGAAGATACCATCAGCTCCAGTTATCTCTGGTCACAGTAACTTTTAAAGCAAAGTTTTCCCTGCTATTTGTGCAATTTATCCCTGCTTCTGAGAGTGTATGGCCTGACAGGTAGGACACTGGCATTCTTTAAGTTAGATTTAGCAACAAAGAAGAAAATAATTGCTATTATTACAAATTTAAAAAAAACCAAAACTGTTTGCTCTGGCTTTAAAAAAGAGCCAAAATGCACATTGAGCTTTCCATGCCATTCAGCTGATAATTCTTGACAGCCAGGATAGCATCCTGAGGAGCAGAGCCCTCCAATACACCTGTACCACACAAGCATGCAGCCAGCTGGCAGTTTCCTAGGAAAGCCCTGGGCTGCTGCCAATGTACAGAGAAACTGAGCATCTGTGGGGGACTACTTGCTTTGAAACCTCAGCCATCAAAAACGAGCTGTGTTACAGTGACAAAGAAGGTGTTTGGTCTGTCTACAATCAGCTCTGGACTTTTTGGGTTTTTTCTTTTCCCTATTGATGTTTGTTTCTTTCACTGTCTAACAGTTTTTAATCACACTACCACCCATGTTTTCATGTGTGTGTCATATATTCTCTCCCTTTTTACAATGCCAAAGAAGATTAAACATCAAAAATAGCAGCTCCAAGTCATGACATCAGTTTCAGGAATATTGCAAACTCCCAGAATGGAAAACAGATATTTTTTTTTCCATACTTTCTAAGTTTCTTTCCAAAGAGTGCTTGACCACTGAGCTTTCCTCTGCTCCACTTTGGTTCAGACTCATTTCTGTCATAGCTTCTGTCACTCATTCTCTTGTACTACATTTATAAAAATAAGAAACAAACAAACAAATACCAGCATAACTTTTCCATCCAAAACCAACTAGTGGCATAACAGTTAAAGTCAACTGGAACTAACAAGGAAAAGCACTACCCTCATGGAAAACCAATTTCCTCTGAAGTCTATGTGCTCTAAAATAACCACTTTTGTGTCTAAAAGCAGAGATAGTTGCCAGCAGCTGCTAAAGAAGCTGCAACCTGAAGAATGTCAGTCTGTGGGGAATTTCAACATCTAGAGGTTCCAATTCTTCGAGTTATTTTCTTGGTGAAGAAGCTTTCCCCTTCTCACTACATCTTCTCTGTACCCCTTGGCATTACCTTCCTAAACAGAATCTGGTTGCTTATATTGACAAGCCTTTCAAATGTACAACTTCCACCTCAGCTTGCAGCAATTTCCAGGCAATTAAAAATATTTATCAGATTCATGGAAACATGCATACAAAATCAAAATACAAACGACAAATGTTACACCTTCCCTAAAGTGATGCCAGCCTCTCAAAGCTGGCAAGCTGTGCTGGCTGTTTGTAATGGTGAGGGAAAAAACAGTCTTTAAAGATTTCCCTCTCAATTAGGGAAGCAACTTTACCTCCTAGTGATGCTTCTCTCACAGGCTCAGGCACAGGTGATTTTTCAAAATACTGATTTAAAAACTGCAGGTTATTGCTAATGTTTTTGGGCTGGGTTTTGTTGTTTGTTTGGATTTTGTTTTTTTAAACACAATTCAAATATTTATAAGCATAACAATCTTCTTACAGGTTGATATATCTGGTAAGGAATTTGAGAAAGGGAACAAACTGGGCAGTGGGGTGGGGAATTCCTCTCTCACCTGAAACACATGTCAGGCTGCAGGCAGCCTGACAATTCAAGAAAAATATTATATTCCAGCTTTGGGCCATTCATTGACATCTATCAGGGTTTTGAACACGGGAGACAGTTGCATCCTTTTTAAAACCACTCAAGTCCCAGTGCTGTAAAGACTTTTCAAATTTGTTTAAATATGTGGAAAAGATTTTAGGCCTACTTAGGCTGATCGATCTGTAAGCAGTTAAAGACATCCTTCAAAGCTCTGAAGATGACTCCAGCTTCCTACATTTGTCTTTTTCAGAAAAATTAGATGTCTAAGATGTTTAGGAATAGATACACTGCCATTATAAACAAGGCATTAACTCTGGTTTTTTCTTTAATTTTGTTGGCGTTTTTGCTGTTGTTCTGTGGTTGGCTGGCCTTTTTTTTTTTTTTCAATAAGAATCTATAGAGTTGTTTTCCAAAGAGAAAGACCATTTGTTATTTGCCTTAATTACTTTCTTAGACACTTCTGTGATAGTTATTTTTAAAGTAGGTGAGCAATTTAACAAAAACACAGCTTTATTCACTTTTTTCATTCAAACATTTTTTTCTGTTACTCGCACATAGTACATTTAAGTCCAACCATAAGCAGATTAAAGCAATACAAAAGCATGTGTCTCCCTTTCCCCTCTGTATTTATATAATGTTTCTGCAAATACTTTCTTACAGAAAAGTAATCTTTTCTGTGGTCCTGGGTTTTTTTTTCTCCTCCCAAAAATCCATGAAGAAAAAGTACCTTGCAGTAAAAGCAACTCTGCAATTACCAAGATTATTCTAAATGAGCTAAGTATAAAGGAACCAACAACTGCATTTACCTGCTCTACCCAAAAAGTTTTCTGATTTTTTTTTTCAATTGCTTGAGGTACTTTGACAGAAACTACAGTAAAATTGTTGAGACAGAACTTCTACAATTACCATTTCTTTGAAAAGCCTTTTAAAAAATGGTAAAGCAAAACAAGTCAAAGTAGTACAACCTGCAATGACTGGTGACACTTGAGTGGTCTGCCCTGTAACAGCTTTGCTATTGATTGGTTTTGCAAATATCAGCTTGGTGATCACCGGGCCAGAAGTTGGGGTTCGAGTCTTCTTCGCAATCTAAAAGATGGAGGAAAAAAGATCTAAAGTAACTTGAGCATTTTGGATCTAAATTATTGTATTGTTAAGTACATAAAAAATAAAAAGGGCAATACTTGCACACATAATTAGAAGAATAACTGTGTATCTTGCATTTCATCTCCATTTCTCCTTATGGAAAGAACTAGGAGATTATCCTTGACACTTCAGAATGCCAGCTACCAAAGTAGGATAGCCAAATCCCTCTCAGCTTGTTCAGAAAATAGCTCTCTGTGCAAACATCTCATCTTCAAAATGCTGAAATTATTTCTTATGGTTGATCTACATAAAAATGTTAAAATTAAATGCACAACTCTCCGTATTTGAAGCTTTAAATTAAGTCATTTCTTTTTCAGCCAACCAGGACAAAACTTGTCCCCTGGTGATTTAAATATGACCACTACTGCTCTGAAACATCTCTTGACCATTTTGACACCTGTTTTGCACAGCAGCACACTTGTTTTGCAAATGGGGAAAATTCCTTCTGCAACAGTTCCCCAAAAGTACATGGATCATCAGTGCCTGAAAGTTTTGAGTACTCACTGGCCAAGAACAATCAGCTGGCTACCTCCAAGTACAAGGGGATCTATTTTCATTTTGTAATCCAGTCTCCTGAAACACAGCTGGACCAAGAACATGTACAGCCATTCAATGACAGATCACTTCAGCATGAAATCTTTGTAAGCAGGAGTATATAGTCTTTAAAGTTTTAAAGACTTTTTTCCCTTTTCCACACTGAGAGAAGTTAACTACCAGATGCATTTATTCCAACAGTTTTGATACACTGGCACCCAGCTAGTGAATAGTTCGATTTAGAGGCTGACTTTTTAAAAGACTGTTAACCTGCTGACTGCAGAGGCTGCCTGTGGATGTGGCCTGAGTCTGTGTGAGCACACTGGAAGGTATTACTGAAGCCCTTACACCTGCCCACCCCACAGGTCAGGCACATCCAGCCTTTCCTCCACCACACACCCTCAGGCACATCCCATGGGCACCAGCCATCAATGCCAGCAGTATCAGAGAGGCACAACATTAACATCCACGTGGGGAGCCAGCTCTCAAGGGCACAGAGCCACCTTTATTACTCAAGCAGCTAAATCAGAAATCTGCCTGATGTACCAAGACACAGACCTGACAGTTACAAATGCTCAAATGAAGCAGTTGAGTAGGCTGGAAGTTATGGTTTCCTACACAAAACCCTATCTAGAGAATTTGTTGCCTGAAAACACGTTTTTTACAACCACATGAGGCAAAAACATTGACAGTATTCAGCAGCACATAACAAATTCCTCAGCTGCTCCACAAAAAGCACACATGAGGCTGCCCCAGCTCCCAGCAGCAGTCATGGCACAGCCAGGGAAGCTGGAGCTCCCCTCTGCTATGGCACTGGAGCCCTCCAGGCTGCTGTGGAAAGCCAAGGGCACCTCTGTGTGCCCGAGTTACACCCAGCAGGGAAGCCAGCAAGGAGCAACTCTGACACCAGGCACTACCAGAGAACGGATCTCATTTAAAGGAAGCCATGTGCTGCTCCACAGTTACACTGCTCCTCAGAGGAAAGATCCATCTCAGAACAAATATGCTGCTTTATGGGTGATATACAATTGTCAAGGCTTTAAAATGAAAACAGAGGAGAAATAAATTTGTTCTTTTTGGAGATATATTAACTAAAACTTTGAAACATAAGTTGTTTGGAGAAGGAAGCTTCAATTCACAGCCCTGTTCACAAATTCAACTCAAAGCCATTTTTAAATTTCAAGGATTCAATTATCTTAGGACATAATACAGCTGATAGATGAGCAGGCATTTTACCATTTTTTTCAGCTTGGACACACTTTAATTCCTGATCGATTCTACATATTTCATCTGCTTGATCTGAGATTTCTGTTTTGTTTAATCTTACCTTGCCATAAGGTATTATTGCAACTCAACCGCTATCGCTTTTTCTCTGAAGTGAGAGCAAAGTCTGGCTCAGAAGATGATGAATGCTCAGCAGGAACAGCCAGCTCTGGATAACAGCAGTTGTTTCCCAGTAACAGTCAATAAATGCGCTTAAATGACTTGCATAAATGTGTGTAAAATACTAACGACCATTAACACAAAGTATTTCAGAAAAAAACCTTAAAAATCCCTAATAACAGGTCAACACAATTAGCCCTGCTTCCCTCGTACTAGACCTGCAGTATCCTCTTCAAATAAATTTCCCTCTGCTTTTTAGATGAACTGTTTGTCTACAAAGAGGGAGGTCAAATAAACAAGTGAATCCCCTCAGGGCTTAGGAAACAGCAAGACAAATGTGGTTGCTAATAAATCAGGAAAAGCACTTCTGCCCCTACCCGCTGCCAAGCGAGCCTTTCTGAGGTTTATGGCACTGGATAACCCCAGCCACCAGGGAAAAGCTTCTTGGCACCACTGGGAAACTCACTGCCCATCTCAGTAAAGACTGCAGAAGCCAGAGGAAATAATCAGGATGCCCCTTTGATACTTCAGAACAGGCAAGTTCTCTGGAGCACTCTGCCATCGCCTGTACTGATCACAATGAGCTTAACATTATCCCCCTGCCTATGTAAGCTAAGCATGCCCTCTGCAAGTTACTTTGAGTTAGACTGCAAATATATTCCCTGGAGCAACAAGCTCTTCCGTGACAATGTTACTACATTTAGGAGCACACACAAACCTTCTTTACCTTACAGAAGTCAAGAGATTTACCTGCAGGCAACTTGACTTCAAGAGTCAAGTTATGTCTTCCTAAAAACTCCCCACTAAAGATGAACTAGCAAGTGCATAAGCTGGACTTTGTTTTCAGACTCTGTTCTATTCATACAGAAATAGGCACACTCATACCTCACATTTACTGCTGGATATCCACATAGTCAGCTACCACACAGGAGCTAATACACTATAAACCCACTCCCTAGATGGCCTCATGGGAGCCTGTCCATGTACCCACTCTCTGTATAATTTATATTTGGCATAGTATGAAAAATCAGGGACTCTAGAAATAGAAAAGAACACCTTAACTTCAGAGATGAAGAAACTGAGCTAGGAATGGGAGTTTGAGGTTAGGGAGTGCACAAGGTCCCTTTTCAATAATGAAATAAAGCCACAACGATGGCTTAGCACCTGCCTTGCCATGGTAGCAACAATGCTATGGACACTGTTAAAACCACAGCCAGTTACCACACAAAACAAGCATAAGTCAGACTTAATGGCAGCCACGGTGATGTGTCTGGACACCTAGTCCAGAGTCACGTGCCAGGCCAAACCCCTGCTTAATGAACCTGGACTAAAGTAGTAGAGCAGCAGGCACGCCACCATTTCTAAGGCTGTAAGCAGGCAGGAATCAGAGGCTGAAAGCAGATGTACTTGCCCAACAGTTGTCTTCTACACATCCATGGCACTAGTTTCAACTAAATCAGGACAAGATGCTAAGGACAGTAATTAACCTCTGGATATAGATGAGGCCAAAGGCCCCCGCCACACTTAACACCTCACAGTCTCATACATCTACAACTGTAACCAGAAAAGGAATCAAATTCCAAGAAACATTTTGCTGAACTCTACCAATTATGCCTCAGGTGCTGAGACTTCAACTATCACAATTAGATTACAAGATTAGATTAGATGTCAAGACAATAGTTTCTCTAATGATATGCAAAGCCCCTATACTAGCGACCACAAGAACTGATAAGAGCTCTTTGTCATCTAATTTGTACCAGTTCACTTTTCAGCACCGAGTCAAAGTCTTGCGCTGCCTTCCATTTGAAATACCTGATTCACAAAGTCACAAGAGATAAATTACACAGCACCCACGGGGAGTCGGAGAGGCATTCACAGCCTCCTTTTCCACTCACTGAAAGCTTAAGGGGCTCCTTCAGGGTGATGGGGTAAATGAATCACTTCATTTTCTAAGACAGGCTCAAGGTGTGAGTTGCCTCCCCTGTCATTCAGGGTAGAGTAGAGCCAGAATCTCTTATCCAGCCTCATATCACTCTGATACCTTAGAAATTTTCTACAGGGAAAAGCACTGTCTGTGAAATGCTAACGCAATCATTCCCTCTGTAATACAGGGTGCTAACCTTGTTTTGCTTTTCATTTCTACTCCCCCCTCTCCTTGTGGGAAAAAAGAAATAAAGTGTTAACAATTCAAACTGTCTTCCAAAGGGGACCAATGGCTTAACAAAAAGAAACCGAAACAAAACAAATTTACTCAAACTGCAATTAACTAGATTTAGAAATGGATGCAAGTCCATTAGTAAGAGTTTCTGCTAAGGAACGTGTAGAATTCCCCGTGGCAAATCATAGAGGTCGATGGCCAAGTCGTTGATTTGAGTCACTGACAGCACAAATCATCTCATGCAAGGAAAAACCACATCACAGCTAGGTCGTTCTCAGTTTCCTGTATCTGCCGCTTGGCAGTGAATAATGAAGCCAAGTAACAGGAACTGATCCCCTCTTAAACGTTCCTATGATGACCAAAGAGCAGAGACTTTCTTGAAAACTGTAGTGACAATCATTTATGTTTCAAATGGCCATTATTAAATAAGTTTCCAGGAATGATGTAGCAGCAAAAAAGGAGAAAGTAGAAATTGATGCAGGAATCATCTCTAACTTCAAAGAAAGTATTCAGAATTGATCTTATTCACCTGCCATGAAAAACTACTCAAGGAGCATTTGGCTAATAAAATTCTTTAAACTTTTTCATTTTTATGTGCAGCTGACTATTTTAATAGCATACTTAAGAGTTTAGTTTTGCATTTCATTTAGACAGTAAAATAAATATTTTTCTATCATAACCTGCATTGTTTTACTTGTCCTTCACTTTAAGAGGTCTTATTTCTGCCTCACTGCCAATAGAACAAAGCTACTCACGTTTAGTTCTGCCACATAGTAGATGAGAATCAGACCCTTTGGGTCATAACCCAAGTCTTTTCAGCACATTTTCAGATCCAAGCAAATTCTCTGTGGTTTCAAATACCTTAAGATCCATGCCAGAGATTGGGAACAAATCCTTGAATGTTCAGTTTATGACAGTGTCTAGCTCACCACAGTCTATCAACAAGTTTAACTAGATTTGAGGCAGATAAAATGCACCTTTCTCTTCTCTTTCAGATGCTAGAAGTTTTTTCAAAGAGTTTATTTAAACAAACTGAATGTAATAGGCAGAAGCTACTCTTCCATAAATGAGTATATACTTTGAATAAAGAACAACAGGCATATAGAGTTGAATTCAGTCTTCCTGAAAGTATGTAGAGTTTATTTTCATAAAATGAAAATAATGAGAAAATTATCTTCAATTTACTGAATAGTTCACTTTCTCTGAGGCAAATCCTAGGTGCTAGGTTTCTAGACAGTAGCTAGAGGCAAACAGCATAAAATGGCAAACGCATCCACAGATGAAAGCATGGGCTAAGAGCAGCATTGTATTTTTCAATACAAAGAATAAATGCAAAGGCTGAAAGCAACAGTGTGTCAATCAGGGCAGGAAACAGACAACAACTGCAGCAACAGAACTGGTTTTAAGATGTTTCATCAGCATAACTCATTTTACCTGTACTGTTTTTACTTGCTGGGACTGCAAGACAGAGGGCTGGGCCGCAGTGTTTATGAGCTGACTTCCCTGCGTCAAAGCTGAGACACCCACAACAGGCTTCACTTCCGACCGACCTCCAATGACAACTTTGATCTGCTGGCCTTGTACCTTGGAGTCTCCACCCTGGGCTTGGGACACGGCCTTCTGCGACTGCGGGAGCTGGCTGTGGGGTAATGCTAAAACAATAGGCTGGCCAGACTTGCCCAAAGTTGTTACAATCAGCTTTTGCCCGTCCGGTTTAATACTCTGACTGCCTATTTTAATATCAGTGGCCTTGTTCAGAATAATCTGATTAGCTGAGATAGTGACAGGGGTCTGAGCACCAAGTTTATGGAGGCCACTTGGAAAGGCAGGCTTTACAGCTGCATTCACATCAGAGCTGGGGGCTGTGGTGGTCAGTGCTGCATCTCCTGAGTGGCTGCTGGGCGCAGGAACCGATTCCGTGGTGACTGTGGCTGTAGTCGTGGCTGAGGAGTCGCTGGTGGAGTTTATGTTCACTATTTCTTCCAGTTCTGTTTCCATGGGAATGGAGTCTCCCATCGGTGAAGATACGATAACAGCCTCGATGCTGTCATCTTCCACCAGAGTTATGCCGGTGTCCATGATTTCCTCAGGGAGCAAGCTGTTGACTTCTGCTGAAACCACCTCCATTTTAGTAGCTGTGGCAGTGATGGCCGGAGCAGGTACTGCAATATTTTAAAAAGTTATTGGCTTCCAGAAAACACATATTTTCAAAGCTTTATGAATAACATTACCAAAGAAGAAAATACAGTAGACTTTTTTCAGACTGAAAAATTATTGTGCATGCACAAGAGAGAGATATCATGGAAAAAAAACTTTATCAAAATGTAACACACTAAGCTGAATTTACTCTCAGTAATAACTTACACCAAACGTTTACAATATCGTTCTGTGAAGTCAAATGAAGGCATTACCAGTCACAACACAGTACACAAAGAAGCAGTGTTTCCCCCCTGAAGATATGGGCACAGACATTTAAAGCCACTGAACTATAAAGGAAGAGTTAAACAGCTTTAAAAAAATCTAATAGATGATGATGTCTTCTCATACATGACAACGGTGATTAGCAGGTTATCTTGCTCACGAGACTCCTTATCCATACCCGACATAACATTCTTGCCAAATTTTAGTTTTGGAAATGTGAGAAAAACAAATGATTGCTTAGTGATGGACTTGAACAACCCCAAAAGCTCAATCAACAGCCACAGGATCAAGTCAAAGCCCTGCCACTCACAAGATGAAGAGATAATCCCTTGATGAAAAGAAGAGTTCAGTAATTTTTTTTCCCCTCAATACTGACCAGAAAATATAACACACAAATTCATTATTAATTTGAAAGGTGTTCTAAACACAAAACAAATAGCACCATATGAAAAACAAAAAAGGATTTTTTAAAGAGTACTCAAATTATGAATTAAACAAACCCCTGCAGTGAGATTCAAAGCCAGAGTCACTTCCACTTGAGAAACCTTACAGACCCTGCTGGAAATGGTCACATCATACCATTCCCCTAAAGCTGTATCACTGTCAAGAGTCTGAAAACAGATCAGTTTAATAAGGCATTTTCCACACTTGATGACCCCATGAGCACACTTGGGCACCGGATGGGTGAGCACACCACATGGCTCTGCCAGCATGCTCATGAGTACTAATTATAAGCTCAAGGGGACAAAATCCTTTCAAATTCTGTTTTCTACTTGCTAGGAAAAGCAGAGCTGAGTTTTAATACTAATTCATGAGGAACCGTGCCAGTAAAAACACTGCCCAAATGCCGAGGTGACATGGCTTCCTCTGGAGTCATTGTGGGCCCATTTTGTACAGCAGCTAACTACAGAACAGCTGCATTTCACCCACAAGATGGAAGGATTGGGGGGAAAAAGCCCTGCTAGAATTACACAGTTTCCATGCCGAGCTCCAGAGGCTATGCTGGAGCAGTCCTGGCCTCCCTGATTGCCAAGGGTGCCACTCTGACCCCTCTCACCTCAGAGTGCCAGCCAGATCAAACTGCCCTGACACTCAAGAAGCCTGAGCTCAAAAAGAACTCCAATGACAGTCAAACTCACAGCTCACTTGTTGGCAGGCATTTAAAGATACAAAGTTATCTGATGTCACTGCCAGAAATAAAAAAAGGCATTGGAAAGCATTTCTCTCCCAGTAATGCCTGCACAGTGATGCCAGCCCTTGTAAGCAGCCCTAGACAAAACAGCCAGCTCCTAGGGACACATTAGTAATAGTATCACATTGCTGCCTTAAAGTCAAATAGGTTAACTGCACAGATGATTACTCAAAAAGGAGACTCTTATTGAAGACAGCATATATTAAGGCCACTAGATCTTCTTCTGAGCAGTGTCACTCGACTGTCACCTCAGCAACTTGCAAAAGCTTGCAGCTCAGATAGTACAACTTCAAACTATTTCAGACACAAAAAAACCAAGCCATTATCTTGTTCTATACCAATATGCATGCAGGGCTTGGATCCAGAAGTTAGACTCCTAATGTCAAGCACAACCCATGTAACAATTGCCTCCAAGTCTGAAAAGGAGAGAATCATCTAAATCAGGCAGTGGGAAAGCTACCTCACTCTGTAATTATAAATAGTTTTTAATAACTTGTTTTTGGTTTGCATTTGTACATGTTTTTCCCAAGAAGGCCACTCTTCGTATCTTTTAACAGTATGACCATAAAATACTTAAATATATCAAAGTACTTTTATAGTTCAGTTATTTGCATTCTTTATCCTTGCCATTTGGTTATGTTACAAAGCAGTAAGTGGTTATTAAATACCTATATCTAGTTTAAAGTATATTTATATTAAAATATGTGGAGTCAGGATTTTAAACAGCATTTTGAATCCAAACTAACCACTGCAAGTCAGAATGCAGAAGGAAAAGAAATACATCACATCAAGTCTGGAATCAGAAAGCGAGAAGTGAAATAGAAAGAAATATTACTCAGTTACTGGATTAACAGCTCATGGCAATCACGTTGGAAGATTTTGCAGTTATCAGGTCATTTTAAACTTAGCTTCTATTAATGTATTCAGGCTAGTGTGCTCAATAACAGCAAAAAAGAACCATAACACAACCCACTTGTTCTATTTCTTCACTGCATATTGGACATGACTGAAATAGATATATGAAGGGCAACAATGAAAATCTCATCCTGGATATACCACAGGCTGCTGTCAAAGGCAACTTCAATATCCCTGCAGATTTTTACTTCTTGGAATCTAGCCAGGATTCCTCAACAGTTCAGCTGTTTATTTTTTACTAATGCTTTTATACAGTTTCCATTTTCCCAGCTTCTCTACTAAAGCGATTACCAACAGAAAAACTATGCCAACCTCTTTTAAGATCGTAACAGCCTTGAGATCATCATGAAAGGGGAGAGAATAGCTTTAACTATTTAAACCCTTGAAAGTTTCCTTCACTTCAGCAGTGATGCTTTGAGTACTGAATAATGCACAAGCTCTAACTACAACCCCTTGAAAAGATGCATCACTAAGTGTTTACTCAAAACCTGAAGGAAGAAATGCATCTAGACCAAGCAATTGTTTAAACTTCAGACTAAAGAAGACCAAGATTGTTAGCAAAAATACAGAATGGTGTCTGACAGGTATCTGTGAATTTTGATATTTTTTTTCTCTGTCATTAGCATATGACTGCAAAATCTAATAATCTCTGTTAAAAGTATTGAGATCAATCATATCAACATCTTGGTTGATAAAATACTAAAACAGCCCCATCAACAGGAAAATAAAAAAAAAATCAGTATAATTAATAAAAGCACAGGGATCTACAAAGAAGTAAACAAAATGCAAGACATAACAATGTTTGTACTTCACAGTAACTGCATTTTATTACATGCAGAAACGTCTCCATTTCACTAAGAATAGCCAACCTTCCAGCCTGCAACCATGAGCAGCTCCAGTCGGGTGACATTACAGAACCATCAGCAAGGCTACGCACTGCAAGCAAAACACGTTTAGCTATTCAGATTATACAGAAACAAGGCTGCTGAGGCCAGCTTTACACAAACTCCTGGGAAGGTGATGCACGTTAGCAAGGCCATGACAACGAAGCAGAGGGCCAAGGCACTCCTCACCATTTGTGGCTGCTGGTCTGGTGGTGCTCAGCCATGGGAACACTCTATTACAACCTGACAGATCTAGGAACACTGGCCAAACCTGCCTTGAGTCATTGGCAATGCTCATTTTTTAACCAAATTCTCAAGTGTCACTTTCACCAGAAAATAAGGAAATCAAATCAGTAACAGCTTTTGTATGAGCACCTCTTGAAGTACAAAACAAACCCACACCATCCAAAATCAAAAGCCTCATAAATGAAATACATCTAATGCACCCCTGAAGCAGCAGGGATTCTCTTGGGACCAGTGAGAAAATGCTAAGCAAAACTAAGTATCACTGCCAGATACTGCTGTATCTGTTAGCAGTTCTTTAAAGCTGGGACAGATACACTTAAGAACAGCACTCTTAAGAGCCAGAAAGTGCAAATACTTTAAACTTCTGAGCCAAAATTGTGCAAAAGCCCTTAAAAAGAAGTATGAATAACAATGAAGCCTGCCCTCAAGAAAGGTGATAATGAAAACCTGAGTCAGATGAATGGCAGAAAACTAAGAGTGGATAACCTAACAAGTAATTGTTCACTGCAAGTGCAGTGGACTCTAATGAAAATTAATACAAAAGAATGCACGATCAACAGTTAGTCAGTACAAAAGAGGTAACAGTTGGAATTTCCATTGCTCAGACAAAAATCCATCACTATCTCTTTCCAATAAAGGTGCAGCAGAGGACCACCAGCAGGCTATGGCTCACATATCAGGATTTTAAAACTCAAAAATCCCACATTACATGGTTACATTCATAAAATTGCCATATTTAAACCTGAACTAGCAAAGGATCAAAACCACAATATATTTCATTCCTAAATCCATTCATTAGAACATAGGCAAGAGCAGGAGGAAAAAGGGGAAATACAGACTGGATCCTTGATGATTTAAGTGAAAAGCATGAGATGCTTTCAACCACATTTTAGTTACTTAAAGGCTTTTCAAATTTTTCAGCTTCTGTTTATCTGCTCTCTCTAAAACTTGGAGATACGTAAACTCCTGAAGGCTGCTGAGCTGAAGAAATCCGATTTTTTAGGGCCTTAATACGTAGAGATTAAGCAACTTGAAATGCCCGAACACAAAAACATGTAGCCTGCCCTAGGTTAAGTTGGACTAGATCTCCAGAGGTCCCTTCCAAACCCAACCATTCTGTGACTCTGTGAGCAGCTGGAAGCTGCAACAATTTCAGTACAATCCATTGGAAATGCTGTATTGCAGTAACAATTCATTCATCCACTCTGATTCCTTTTCCTAATCTTCCAGCTCTTGGGATGTAAGAGAATAAAAGCATATTATAATTATTCCACCATGAAACAGTTACTAAGCTCTCCAGGAAGCCCTTCATGCTGCTATAATTAACAAATAATAGTACAAAATACTGACAGGTACACTTAAAACACAATGAGTGCTCCCTCCTGCCCAAAAAACCCAATACACAGAAGAAGAAATAGATGATGCTCTCTGCAGACATGCTGCAAAGAAAAAAAAATTTAAAGTTTCCAAAAATATTTATGTCTTGCTGTCTTCAAAATAGAAATGTTTTAGACAAATGCATCTTCTTCCTTCACCACAACAGCTGTTACAAATATACTTTAAGACTCAGCTATCCTGTGACCTGTAGCTGTTTTCTTCACATCAAGACTATTTCTCACATAGAAGGAATCTCAGCAGGCTACCATAGAAATTTGATTACACACACCAAGTACAAAAGCAATTTTTACAATTAAACTAACAAGGACCTTAGAAAGAGGTCCGAAAATAATAGTAACCAAAAATCCCCATGAGTCAGAGCCTTTCAGGCAAAATGGAAGGTGGACAGAAAAAGCAAAAACGCTATAACTAAATTTTGGATAAAAGCAGCATGTCATACAAATTGCAAATGTTTGAATTATGTTACATGTATAAGTGAGTGCATTGTTTCCTAGAAAACCAGCATTTCAAAACACTGGGATATCTAGCTCTGGAATTGACAACCCCCTTTCCACCACAAGAAAATATTACACTGCCCAAAGGCACCACCTATTACAAAAGAAGATTATTAAGGAAGAACATTCCAGCTGTTGAGAGGTACAGAGCAGTATTACTAAACAAAACACAACAAAACTCCAAGCATTCACTCACAGAGTCATTAGTTAAAGTCTTAAACACTGCTTGTTTACCACACACTGAACTTGCAGCAACTTCCAGGAAAGTACTGGAAATAACATTCTGTGCAGCAGAATACTTCAAAGCAGTTCAGATTGCCTTCTGTAATGGGAAGCAATGTTCTACTTTCAAGCAGACCTTTAGGCAAACTAAAAATAAAATAGAAACTAAAAATAAGAACATTCCCCTTCACCCTTCCGTTGGTTTGCATGCCAGTTTCAGTCATTTTCAAAACATACCATAGCACAAAAGTTGAAACACAGAACTGCACAGATGCTACAACCACAACAAATATTCTGAAGGTGTTCACTACAGTGAACAATTCCAAATGTTGGGTTTGTAGATTCAAGGGCCTTTACATTTAATCCAGTGCTTCTAACCTTATGTTCCATACAAACTTTGGGGTGAGACCAAAAGAAAAAACCCTAAAAATAACTTCAAGTAATTTAATTTTCTGCAGTGTTTGGTAGGCCGATAAAAAGGCATTACGAATCTAAAGTTACATTGAATAAACATGTAGTGAACTTAGCTTGACTGATAAAAAAACAAAAACCAAACAAACCTGAAATGCATAGAGTACTTATCACTAGGCCCCAAAAAAATGCAGATTTTTGTCTTCTATATATAGCTTGAAATAAAGGTCTTGCCTTCCAAACTCCAGACACCTCTTGAATGTGAGGCTACAGAAGAATTCGGAAGACAGAGCAATATCACACCAAGAACACTCTAAAAAACTGTGAAAACTACCACCAGAGGCTTGATACCAAGTTCCTCACAGACTTTTAGCAGGTGTTATCATATTGCACACCTTTAAGATCAGGCTTACTGCCAGCAATTTCAGCAAGAGTACATTTTATAGCTGTATTTATGGGCAAGAGTTCATCACAACAGAACTGTAACCTACCAGTTTTACTCACACTTTGCCAACTGGGCAGCACAATGATGATCCAAATGCATCTCATCTATACTAGACAAGCACTGCCCAGTTGGGAGGTACAATACATGAAGTTCATTCTAACTGAAACAAACCCTCCCCCACACGACACTGATTTCAGTGAAGCATTTAATTTCAAAAAAATATGCTAAAATGGCACAGAAAATTTTGCCCTAAAAGCTTGATTCCTTATGTGTCTTATGCAATCACGATCCTTTTCAAAGTTAGAACACCACAGAGATGAAAACCAGAGAAAAACCTTAAGATGATAAAGCGGAATGCTTTAAAGGTAGTGCTGTCAAGATTTGAACAGCAGTGAAAGCTGCAATGGCCACTACCACTTTTTAAAATTATCTAAGTTGGCTTTCTTCATTTTTTACTCAAGTGGAGCATTAAAACAAAAATAAAGATAGCCCGAACAGTTACTTTGCAGTGATTTGCAGGAAAACATGCTTCTAGCTGCAGATCTTAGCAGTTCTACCAGCTTTAAACATGACAACACTCCACAAGTACAGAATATATTTACTTGCAGAAGTGCTGAGCTGAAGATAAATAGCTCACCTGCAGGCAAACCAGGACTTCATTCAGATTCTTTCATTCACACAAAACACTATTAACACCTTCTTCCCACTTCAATCTCTAGATAAAGCACCTCTGTATTCCTTCTGGGAAAACTTACTTAAACAACTAGGACTGTGCAATAACTGACTGACCTTTGTGGAATGAAATTCCACATTAAGATTTTGAGTTGAGATCAATTCAACAGGAGAAATAGGAATTTTTGTGGAATCTTCATCCCTGCTCCAGTACCATGTGGGTCACTTCAAATGCAGGCTGCTCAGATCTCTGAAGTCTCATGTGTTATAACAAGTTGAAGAGCTGCTGAAACACAAACTCGTAAATTTCATTAGCTGTAGGTAAGAAAACCAACAGCTTTGGATAAACACTTCAAAAAGCCCCCAAAAGACAGGACTAGCCAGAAAGAAGCATGGCAGTGACGAGGACTACACTGTATCTTTTACAACCTTTGTTTTCAATAACCTGAAGGTGATACAGCAAGATATCGACACTGTATCTTATTCTATCCCTGGAGAAGCTTTACTCCACGCAATATGCCAGTTTAGGAAGAAGAGCTCTCTGCATGCGTCCTCCATCCTGTTCACTGGGAAGTCTATTCCAGTGTCCAATCACTCTCTGGGGGAAGAACCCTTTCCTAACAACCAACTTAAAAAAGCAGCAGGCTTCAAGAAAAGCCCCAAATCTGTTCTTACAGGATACCCTTCCAAATTTGATTTTCATGGCAAACATGCTCAACCACCAGTTGGACAAGTCACCACTACACTATCCGAATTGATACAGATACAGAACGTTCATCTCCTTCTCAGAATTACTAAGTGAAGAAACAATAGTATGCAAAGCCTTAACTGCATTTTTCCATGGAAAAACGTTGCTTGGCTTTTTTTTTATGTAGCAAGATCTAGCTCTTTACTACATCTAAAACCAATTTGTATATACAAAAGAAGCTTTTGCCAACTGTCAGTTCATAATTTTGAGGATTGGAGATTGACAGTGATTAACATATGACAGGGCACTGGAGCTGACCTGCAGCTTGGCAGGTTCTCTGTGTGACTCAGCTGCCCTACTTCATCACTACACAGTGAACAGCACCCCATACCACAAAGAGCTGGACACACCTGAACCAGAGGCTGTCACTCTGTAAATTCTCTCACAATCCAGCTCAGGACACACACCCAAATAGCTCTGTGTCAAACTGCACAGTCTACTGAAACCAACCCAGCAATGGAACTTGAAAATAACTGTGGAATGTCTTTCTGCAAAATTCTATAGCATCTGCATTTATCTATGTCATTGAGAATTTTTGTTAAGAATTCAGGACATCTAACTTGTCAAAACATTTTATTCAACCTATTTCTTTTTGCTGGCGTAACACCAAAACTCACCTTCCTGTTCAACAAAGAATGAGCTCTTATTTTCCCCAGTCATTCCAGTAGTGATGGTAGAAATCCTCAAGTAGCCTCCCTCTTGTCTACTTTCTGCTTCTCTCCTGGGGAAATCCAGATTTTTTTGTCCGCAAGAAACTGGAGTGACAAACTGCCAATATCATTGAGTGCAAAACTGACTAGAGCCTTTCTGGTCATTCCAGTGTAGCCACTTCATAGCACTGGCACCAAAACTAATCTCTGCAAATGGAAAAACACCCACTGGTCATTTAATGGTCCAGGCATTCTCCCAGAAAAGAGAAAATTTATTTTAGGAAAAGATCAATGCATAGCAGCACAAGGTTCATAGTTCCCAGAGACTTTTGACTGCTTGTAGTGCAAGGGATTTATAACACCTACCTATGCAAAGTAGAATCAAGTTACAGTTTAGAAAGTGAAGGTCACTTGTTTGCCTAAGTTGATTTCAAGGGGAAAACAAATCTTAAAGAAACAAATCCTTTTATTGGATCATTTTATAAGCAAAACAAACTAAAGAACAGGCTGAGTAATCTCCTTGTTTGCTGTTTTCTCTCATCTCTTTTTGACAAATACAAACAAGCACATCAACTATTCCAGGCAACTGAAATTCACAAAGAATGGGAAAAAAATGCAGTTCTTAAGAAACTATTGACACCAGACATACTTTCATTCATTTGTTAGAAAAGTCTCTACAAAAGTACATGTATAATTAAGACTCACCTTGGTCTGCTGGCATATTGTCAAATGAAATAGCACAACTGCACGTAGGTGATCTTGCTGTACTATTCTCCCAATTAAGTGCCATTCTTCAACGTTGCTATTTTTTTCAATAATGGGTAAAAGTGTAATTCATTTTAGGCATTCCCCATTTCCTTACTCTCTCTGACACTCTATGTTTTGTCTCTAAAATTGAAAAATTTGTTTTGTCATAAAGCAAAGAATTACAAAATCACTCAGCACTGTTTTTTCAACAGAGAGGCTTTTGTTTAAGCTTACTGAGCTAGAGATGCTTTAACAAAAGGCATGTCATGAAACCAGAAAAAGATGAATCCATGAGGAAGCTATGATTAACAAGGGTAAGTGGAAAAATTAATCATCTAAGACTGCAAACTCACCATGTTTGCATATGTAATAGGAGAGTGAAAGCAAATAGCTTTAACACGGTAACAAAATATGTATGTGGAACACAGACAAAATAATTTCCATTCTCTTTCCCAATCCCCACATAAGACCAGTCATGGAGGCAGTTTGTCTGCATGCTTCCCAGTTGATCATGGCTCTAGGTTTATCAAATACAATACCAATAGCAAACCATAGCAAGGAAAAAACCCAACCCAACCTTATCAAATGCTGAATACATAACCAGTGTAAGTATCCAGTCTTTTTTCCAACTGTTACAAGCAACACTTAAGAAAATACCAGGTGTTCTTCTACCACAAATTAACCATCTACAGTCACAATATAGTTCCCAAGGCAACCATAATTCCCTCAACCAACGCACACCATTCCCTTCCCATTACTCTACGTTCTGCTCAGTGAGTGCTCGCTGCCTGAGACACCACACAAACAACTGTGTGCAGCAGATGAGAAGAACGGGCAAAGTACACAAATTAGCAACTCCTGTGTGTTTAAACTGACACTGTCAAGTGATATGTACATGAGGGTTTTGGGTTTATTTTGGCTTTTTTCCATCGGAAGGTGGCTTAAGCTCATGTTTCCACTGCCATGTTTATAACAGAGGCGCTACCTGGTTTCTTTTTAAGACTGGACAGAGAAAAAAAACAACAAACCAACTAACCTCTCGTCCACATACCAGTTATGAGGAGATCCTTCTTCCCTCAGCAAGTTCTGAGCAATTTATGCTTCCGTTATAATTTTAAAAGGAAAAGCAAAAAGTAAAAATCTTATATGTCAACAAACCGGTAATTATACACTAATAAAACAAGCATCTGCTACAATTTTATAGGATTTACTGTGAGCAATATCCTAGCAATATCTTTATTGCACTGTTATTTCAAATAGCATAATTTGCTACTTTGTGTGTACACGAGCAGCAGGATTATCTCCCCTATATTTCAATTCCCTGGATGTATTAATCCAGCACTACTACTATAGGTCTCCTGTCCACCTTTGGCATCTGCCTTTTTTTTTCCCTACATTTTCCCTCCTTGTGCTAGCAAACATCTGTATAACTGCAAGGGCAGCCCAGACAAAGGAGCCAGGCAGGAGCAAAGCCATCCAAAATCAACTGTAGGTTGTCAAAAACCCATTTTCTCCATGCCACTGACACTGGTGTTCAACCCAGGAAGAAAACTACTCCACAAAGCAATAAGCAAACTCTGGTGAGTCAGTGTGCTGAGATAGCTCTGTTCAAAGTATATGAGCACCAGAGCAGCACCAAGGGATCACACCTGAGAGACTTTCCACAGAAACAATCGTTTCACCCAAGGAAGACAGACTTCTTCAGTCTATAACAGAAATTGCTGTTACGCCAAAGGAATTAAAACCCCCAAACAGTCAGTCCCTAAATATGGGGATTCAGCGTGTACCTAGAACTCATACAAGAGATCAAAACAGACTCAACACTAAGGGCATAACCCTCATGTGGGCAACAACATGCACAATGGCAGAAGGATGGCTTCTGAAAGGGGAGTGATGCACAAATTAAGCAGCTACCAATCTACTTCCAGATCTAGAACACAGGAATCTCTCACATCTTTGTGCCCCATGACTAATGAAGGGATTATTCTGTTAGTTTCCTTCTTTCTTGTGCAAGAACATTCTTTTCCAGACTTCTAATGTTGCCAGGTGAGCAAGCCCAGTCACAGGCTGTACTGAAAGCCACATGCTGCTTATCAGCTGTCTGAGAACTGAGGAAACCAAGGTATTCAAATAAAAGGCCTGGCAAAATACAAACCTTTGAAACAAGAATGCAACAAACATTTTCCACTTCTCTTTGTGAGCTCCTGAAACTAAGAAGAATAATAAAAAACCCAAAGAATCCTGAGTTCATCTCCTAGGTACTTGCTATGAAGGGTCCCACCACACCCTCACACTGCTGTAGTGTACAACCTCTGTAGGACATCAGGATGTGCCACTCACAGCATGTAAAATATATTGCAGTGTATGAGATAAATACATCTCTAAGGTTGAATTCTGACAGTACTCTTCATCATCACCCTTCTTATTCACCTGTAGTTAGCAGATACTCCTCCTGAAAGCATTTAAAACTTCTCAACAATTCTGACTGAACTGTTCAGAGCATTCAGTTACAAAGGATCTGAGTGTGGACATCACTGGAGTATAAGCAAACCAAACATCAGCAGATAGTTCTTGATACATAAGCTGAACAAGCAACCTTGCATAACAAACTGCTGAAGCAACCCCATCACAGCAAGCATGAAGTACTTTTTTAACCCATTAGGGAAGCTGGGTTATGTTTTCAAACACATTCTCCAAGCCAGCCTGTAAGGCTGTTTGGCCTACAGAGCAATACGGCCACACATCTCTCTCTGGGTTGGTGCAACTCTGTACAAGACATGTAACTAACATGTAACTCAGTGACAGATATGTAAACTGGATTTCTTGACAAATAATAATTGAATAAAAAACAAGTCTAATGCATTTCATTAAAAAAAAACCACTGACAGAACAAAGATATTCAGCTGATAACCCACTATTCCTCTTGCCTCCAATAAGCCAAAAGCCCAAGCTCAAGGATTGAGTAACTTGCCTGTTATTGCAAGCTTCATGTAAACATTGCAAAGAGTACTTCAAATTATTCCTCTATATTCAATATTTCCTACAGTAATCGCAATATATTTCAAAGAACTGTTCAGAAGGATGAAACTAAGGAAAGGTGATTTAAATATCTGTTCTTTCCTCACCTGACATCTTAAGTCTGAGAGCTTTCCTCCTGATTACAGTATATTCCAGTGGACAGTTTCATCTTCTCTCAATGCTACAGGGCTTTCCAGAACCCAAATCCTCAATACCAAGCATTACATAATTAGTACATGACATGCTTCAAAGTAAAGGCCACAGATAATTAAAACCACATTCTCAATACTGATATACCTCATAACAAGTAAGATGGTGACAAGCAAAGCTGAAACTATCCCAAAAGATGGTCCGGCTACATTCACAGAACCACAGAATTGTTAAGTTTGAAAGGCACCTCTGGAGATGAAACAGACGAGACAGGACCACTTAGAGCAGGTGACAGAGGACCATGGTGAGGTGGGTTTGGAATGGCTTCAGAGAGGGAGACTCCACAACCTCCTTGGGCAGCCTGTTCCACTGCTCTGCCAACCTCAGCATAAAGCTCTTCATCATGTTGACGTGAAACTTCTTGTATTTTTGCTTACGGCCATTTATCCCTATCCTGTTGCTGAGCACCACCAAGAACTCCGCCACTATCTCCTCGTCACCCGCTTTTGAGATATTTACGTGCATTAATGACATCAATCTTGTCTTCTCTAGACTAAACAAGCCCAGCTCCCACTATACGAGAGCTGCTCCAGACCCCTCGTCATCTTCATGGCCTCTCCAATAGTTCCTTGTTTTTCTGTACTGAGGAGGCCAGAACCGGAGGGGTTCCCTTGGAGCTGAGGGCTATCCAGAGCCGGGAAGCACACGCTGAGGGCACAGGAGCGCCCTGGCACCGGGGCGAGCGGAGGAAGCACCGCACCCGCTCCGCGGGGCAGAGCCGGAGCGAGCATCCCGCTGACACAGCCAGGACGTCCTCACCCACCCGCGGCCGTGCCCGGCGCGGCCCCGGCGGCTCCCCGGGCTTCTCGAAGGGCGCATGCCGGCGAGTAACCCGGGCCCCGGAGCCGCCCGACGCGCTGTCCCCGGGCCGGAGCTGCCGGGCCCCGCCGGTTCCGGGCCCTGTGCGGCAAGTCCCGGCGGCAGCCGGCCCCGCGCGGTGCCGCCAGCGCGGCCGCTCTCCCCGCGCCCCCCGGGCCGGGTCTCACCTCGCGGGGGCGGCCCGGGCCCGTCAGCGCCGGCGGCCGCCACCGTATTTCGAAAGATCCGCCATTTTCAGCCCGTCACCGCCGCTCCCGCCCCCGCCGCACCTGCCCCCGCCGCCCCGCCCCGGCGCCGCCCCCGAGCCGCGAACCCCAACCCCTTCCGCACCGGCGGGTCCCGCGCAGACCCCGCTCCGAGGGGGAGCCTCGCCGTGGCCGTGACCCCGCCGCGGCTCCGGGCGCAGCTGACCCCGGCGAGCGACGGGGAGGGGACGCGCCGGGCAGGCATCCCCGCGCTGGAGAGGCGGCCGGGACCGACTGTCCGCGCCATCCTGGGGAGGCCGGCGGGGCCACTCGGGAGCCTGGACCGCCGCGGGGAGAGCGCCCAGCGAGGCCGGGCCTGTTATTTCCCAGTGGGAGGCGGCTGTCAGCCGTGCCCGCACCCCCTTCCCCGTCCTCCCGCCGCTGCTTTCCCGCCCCTCGCACTCACCGGGCGGGCGGGCGGGCGCTCTTCTTCTTCCTGTGCTAGCGATGCCTCTCGCCAGTGCCAGCGGCCCCCGGTGCCGCTCCCGGCGGCCGCGGCGGCGGCGGCCGCGCCCGCGCCGATCCCGCCGCCGCGTTTGTTCAAAATCACGCGCCCCGCGCCATTCCCCCGCCGCATCCCATAATACCGCGCCGCCCTGGCAACCGCCGGCGCAGCGCCCCGCGCTTCCGGGACCGCCCCGCCCCGCTGTCCGCTTCCGGGCCTAGGCGCGGGCACCACCCGTGGAGGAGGAGGCGGAGGAGGCGGTGTGGCCTGATCCCACTCGCGGTGTAAATCCCGTGGGATATCTCCGTGGGATATCCGCCCCCAAACCGCGCGCGCGGGGCCGCCCCCCCCAACCCGCGGCCCGCGCGCGCTCCCCCGTCACGTGACACGCACCCCCTTCCCCCTCCTCCCCTCCCGCCAGCGCGCGCGGCTCCATGGTGGGAGGAGGCGGCTCCCAAGATGGCGGCGGGCGCGGTGAGGCAGGACCTGGCGCAGCTGATGAACTCCAGCGGCTCCCACAAGGACCTGGCGGGAAAGTGAGTTGCCGGCCTCGTCCCCGCGCTGGGGCGAGGGGTGCGAGCCGCCCGCGGGGTGCGGGGTGAAGGGGCGCCCTGAGCTGGGAGGGTGGGGTCGTCCCCAGCGGCCGCGTTCCCTCGAATAAAAAGGAGACACAAAGGTTTCGCTTCACGGTTGTGTGTAGGTTTTTCGTTCACGGGCTCCCTCAGGGCTCGGCTGCTGCCCCCGGGCTGTGGCACAGCGAGAGGCCGTGGAGTTTGTTTTCCTCTGCTGCCGTGGGAATATCAGCGACTCTTTGGTTATTATTAATAATTATTGCCCTTTTCATTAGGTGGGTGTTTTGGACGGCAGCTCTTGGGGGTTGAGCTTCTCGTGGCGCGATGTGTTACACGGGTTTTCACTTCGAGAGTCCAGTCAGGTGCAGATCTGTCACCTGGAATTCTTTGATTCCCTGTCCAGTTGCTTGTGTTCTAGGGGGGCTTGTCACTTTTAGTATTTCCGTGAAAAACCTTGGAAAATTTCCCCTAAAAATGTAGTTTCCACGCGGATGTAGTACTTCATCGGTATCACACACACTGAGGCAAAGTTTCATCAGCTTGCTGAAACAAGAATAGAAAACTTTATATTTTTTTCAGGAATAAACACTTGA